CTCTGCTGCTTAAGATCTAAGTAAGATTGGCCTGAACCCCTGTTCCACTTCTGGAAGGTTCAATCCCCTGTATAATCTTATCATAAACTCCCAAGAGTTTTACGTTCTTGGGGCCACCTCTGTCTCTGACTTTATGTCTCACCACTTCTGGATTCATATTTTTCGGTTTCTACTTCTGAAATTCCATCTGAAATTATTTGACACCTCCCAAGGCTACCCAAAATTCAATGTGATGTAATAATATAGAATGATGGTTTGTAGAGTTACAGTAAGCACATCACATAGCAGACCATTGAAATTTGCATTTTAGATCTCCTGTTGGGTACTTTCAGCAACCCCGCCACTTTGTTATGTCCCTCCAATCCTGGCCCCTTTCCACTGGCTAGCTCTTCTTTCTGTCTCTGTCTCCTTTCTGCATTAGCTTCAATCCTATCAGCTCCCTACAGAATGTATCTGGAATCTGAGTAGTCTAGGCCGCCACCATCTTCCACCTAAATTTTTGCAATAACCTTGTAGCTGCTGCCCCAGGCTATTTGGAATACAAAAACCAGAATGTAATCCTTTTAAAAAGTAGAGTAGATCACATCACTCCTCAGAGTTCTGAGGAGGCTTTCTGTCTCACTCAGTAAAATCTCAAGTCTTCACTTGAAAGGCCTTTAAACACTACAAGATTATCACTGATTTCGTGCCTATTGTTTTCACCTTAGCCGACTAGTTTCTGTTTTTCTTTAAACACTTAGAACACATTCCTGCCTCGGGGTTTTTGTACTTGTCAAAGCTATCTTTCCCCAGATATCCCAGGCCCTTCAAGGTCTCTATTCTGGTGTCATTTTTCAATTAGGACATTCCTAACTTCTTTCCTTGTTTTTTTTTAATTTAAATTTTATTTTTTTATCAGAGCATGTATCACCACCTGATATTTTATATATTTTACTTGTTTCTTTTTTCTCTTCTCTCTAGATCAGGGTTCCATAAACTTCATAAACTACAGTATGATCAGAATAGGCTGGAGTGCCTGTCAAAGCACAAATTGCTGTTCCTCATTCCCAGAGGAATTAATGATCTGGGTTGGGGCTTGACAATTTGCATTTCTAACAAGTTCTCAGCAGATACTGATGCTGCTGGTCTATGTATCACACCTTGAGAACCAGCGTGTTAGAATTACTGTATCCAGTATGGCAGCCATTCACCACATGTGTCTACTTACATTGAATTTAAATTAAGTTGAATAAATTAAAAATTTGATTTGGGAGTCCACTAGCTCAGTAACCACTGTGTTGGATAGTGCAGATATAGAACATTTCCATTGGTGCAGAAAATTCCATTGGGCTTATTACTGTAAAACACAAACCACATAAAGATCCACATGGAGCTTACTATGGTGTAAGGAATCAGGTTAGATACACAACTTTTCTTTTTCATCTGATAGTTTTCCCAGTACCACTTATTGAAAATTCAGTTGTTTCCCCAGAGACAATTCATATGCAGTATTAAATTCACATATGTAATTATGTCTATTGCAGAACTTTCTGGATTGCTGCATTTATCTGTCTGGGAATAGGAATACTTTCAAGACAAATTTGGCTTCTGAAACTATTGAATAAAGAATTGGACCTGGAATTATAAAATGAGAGAATAAAGTCATAAAGAAGTTCTGTGGTTTTCAGTTGCCTCTAAAAGAGGCATTTTTAGTAGAAAACATGTAAGCAGTGTTGAGTTCAAAGGTCATGATATAGTCGGCAATTTTTTTCTTATGAAATCTGATATAGTGTGTAAAGTTTCTAGATAAATAAAGTGACTGAGGGAATAGGCCATTATATTAATATTCTTGACCAATTGTCCACCCCATTTATTAGATTAGAAAATTAATTTGTCACAGAAATACCAATATTTCTACACAAAGTATCAAATTGTTCTAACTTTTTTAAAAAATCAAAAATGTATTTTTTTAACATTTATATGTTTATACATAAAGGATGATAATTATGGCACAAAAATAGTGATAAAAACAAAACAAAACTTTAATAATTTTTTGTATTTTTGTTTTGTTTTGTTTTTTGAGACGGAGTCTTGCTCTGTCGCCCAGGGAGAGTGCAGTGGTGTGATCTCAGCTCACTACAAGCTCCGCCTCCTGGGTTCACGCCATTCTCCTGCCTCAGCCTCCCAAGTAGCTGGGACTACAGGCGCCCGCCACCACGCCCGGCTAATTTTTGTATTTTTAGTAGAGACGGGGTTTCACCGTGTTAGCCAGGATGGCTTTGATCTCGTGACCTTGTGATCCGCCTGCCTCAGCTTCCTAAAGTGCTGGGATTATAGGCGTGAGCCACCGCGCTCAGCCATTTGTCTTGTTAACTTATGTATTTCTGGCAGAGATTCAAGAAAACTGTGTATTTAAGAAGTAAAAGATGTTGGAAGAATAAGTGTCAATGTTTTTACATTTATTACTTGACACATTTATATATAAAGAGAAAGAAATACAGTCTGCATGTATCATCATTTACTCATAGACAACAGCAGACAGTTACCCAGTCAGTTGGCAATGAAAGTTCTCTCCTCCTCCAGCTAAACGGTATTTATAATTGTATTTAACTAGACATTACCTAATCCTTCTTAACTTTATTTACTATCAAAGAAAGTACTATTTCCAAGTCTAGAATTGGTATGTGCCATCCAATTGCTCTTGCAGAGTACCATATTACCAAAAAATCAACTTCCACAAGACCGTTTTGCTAGTCTCTCTCTGGATGAAATTAAAAATGTACTGTTTAAAGCCAAAACATAGGCAATATAGATACATTTATGAGCATAGCCTGTGGCTCAAAAGAAGGATGTAAAACTCTTAAATAATATGCAACCATCTAATAAAGACACAGGGAATGTATTTTGAGAATTGAAATGTATTCCTGAGAATTGTTTTTTAATTGAGGGACTTAGAGCCTTTTATTTATTTATTTTTCTTTATATATGTACAAGTAATAGGGTGCTACTTGTATGTGGGGGAGGAGAAGGGAGGTGTGAGGGACCATTGAGAAACATACTCCTTATCCCATAAAGATTGGACTGGCCCAGGAGTAGGCAGCGACCACAGAAAGTAGAAATGGGGGCTGAAAACGGGATGATCTGAAATCTATGTAATGTAATGTTTGACTTCAAGACCACACAGTATCCAAGAGTGAATCCTTCCCCATCTCTGCAGGAGACTCCTTGTCTGGAAGAACTGCATCAGAGGGGCTGCAGGCCTGGGAGCTTGCTGAGGGTGACGTCGTGCCATATGAAAACAGATGCACTAAAATAAAAGTGGCATACCGAATGGCGGGATTTCTAGCCCCATTTGCCTGTCAAGTTCCCAAAAGCCAGTAACCAGGTTTATATCTCTAGTCAAGAAATTGGAGAGTAACTTTTTACTAATATGTGCATTTCCCTTTTGAGGTGGGATGCAGATGTCTGGCTCCCCAATTACCCTAAAGTGAATCCCATGAACCTACACCTCCAGCCATAAAAATAGGATTTTCACACTGCAGCTCAGTGCCTTATTCTTAAGTATGAACTAACAGCTTAGGATCACCTGACATTTGGGGAAAGCACATGATACCAAAGATTATTTAGTGTGCTTTCCTTAAGGGCTGGCAGTATTAAGACAGACTCAGAGACTATGTTGTTCTGTTGATGATATGAATGAAAATATAAGTCTGTGTCAACAATGAGAGTCTATGGAAAGGGAAGCAAAAAATTGGTAAGTATCCCTGAATTCCAAGTTGGGTATGAAAGTTTCTATAGAAATGAGTCCTGTGTTACCAATGCTATTAAACATTCATTCATTATTTGAAATTATCTCATACATTTACTTTATTTCTATTTTATGTTCTGGTACAAGAGCTGATAAACTTTTTCTGTCATGGGCCAGGAAGTAAAAATAGTAGGCTTTGTGGGCTATGCCTGTATAGTAGGTGTGGTCACGCTACTCCATTCTGCTGTTGTAACTAACACAAAAGTAGCCTGAGACGTTATATAAACAAATGGGCATGGCTATTTTATAATACGACTTTATTTACAAAAACAGACTGTGGGCCCATTTTGACCTGCACATTGTGGTTTGCTGACACTTGGTTTAGTACATCCAGTAGAGTGTTAGATCTATGAGAACAGATATACTATAATACTTGTACTGTGATTCCAGTGCCTAGAGAATATTCATAACCTTTGAATGATTAAAGAATCTGTACTACGCCCTTTAGGATTTTGTGGACTTCCTATGTAGATATTTACAGTCTGTTTTCTAAAGCCAAAAAGGTGGTGGTGCTTGTTCCAAATGCTTCATTCTTATGAGAACTTTGTAATCAATTCATAAGCTAAAGACTGCCAATATTGTATTACAAATAATGTGTTGTGAAGGACTGCTCTTGGGTAAGGAAAGGACTTCTCCTGAAACTTGTAATTTGGAAACAATTTGGTAAAACATAAAAGTAGTTGTTGAACTAACACTAGGATCCATGCTGTCTTGACTATCCCAGGACTTTTTAACTATTACAATTTTGTCTGTTTAAATATCTTGTAGTCCAATTTTTTGCAGTTATATTATTTTTGTGATGATGATGATGATGATGATGATGATGATGATGATGATGATGACAGGGTCTTGCTCTGTTGCCCAGGCTGGAGTGCAGTGGCATGATCTCATCTCACTGCAACCTCATCTTCCAGGGCTCATGTTGTTCTCTGGCCTCCACCTCCTGAGTAGGTGGGACTATAGGCACGTACCACCACAGCAGGTTATTTTTAAAAATTTTTTGTAGAGACAGGGTCTTGCCATGTTTCCTAGGCTGGTCTCCAACTCCTGGGCTCAAGCGGTCCTCCTGCCTTGGCCTGTAGCTTGGCCTATAGCTCAAATTTTAAGCTGCTTTTCCAAATACGATTTTGTAGCTTTGTTTATCTATTGAAGACAAGCATTCCAAGAAAATCCTCAAAATAATAACAGGTAATGAAATACTCTTGTTTTACAGTAAGCCTATGATGGACTTGTTGATATTCCTTTGTGCACAGTATCACTTAAATCCATCAAGTTACACAATCGATCTGTTGTCAGCTGAACAGAACCACATTAAATTTAAACCAAACACACCAATAGGAATGTTGGAGGTAGAGAAGGTAATTTTAAAGCCAAAAATGTTGGATAAGAAAAAACCTACACCTATAATACCAGAGGTAAGAATTCCATTATATCTTTTGGTATCTTATGGCTAAAATATTAAGTTGATTTTTCAGTCATTAGCAGCTCATTGTAAGTGAAATGAAAATGGACTTTCCTGATCAAATTTGATGTGAACATAGGTATTATGTTTTTCTAGGCCACTTTGTTTAGGATTCAGTTGGTTATTGATCCTTGGATTCAATAGAATTTGGGCAAAACTTTAGATTTAAGTGCTCTAAAATGATATCTAATATGATTGCATAAGAATGTAACAATTATGAATGATTTGTATTTTAAGCTACTTTTTAAAAAAGTATTTTATATGTAAAGGAGGGTTTTAGAATCTTTTCATGCAAATTCATCTAAGAATTTCTTAAAGTAATATTTTGGCTTCTGCGTACTTGGTAAGCAGCAGTCGTAACTTACATCTATTTGTGTGTGTGTGTTTTTGTTTTGTTTTCCAACTCTTCATTGTGTTTGAATTAATAACATCTAAACTATTAATGTGTGCTGCACATTAACTCCATTTTCTTTAATGTACAAATTCCATGCAAAAATTTTTAACCACATCATTCTAATATCATCAGTCCTTATTAAAATTGTTTTATTGCTATACGCAATAGGGTAGAATTTTATGGGTTTCAACAAATACTCTTTCATTATGAACATCAACCATTTTCATTTTATAATATATATAAAAGTTTGTATATTAAATTGCTACATGTGACTTAAATATACATATTCTTGCATTTTCTTCATGTTGTTATGAAGCTTTTTTCAAAGAAGTTGAGTTTTTGAAAATATTAAAACATACTTGCTTTCTGCAATATATGATTTAATATTATTAATATGTGTTAGGATATTGGACTGCCTTCTGTCTAGGCATTTGTTTCTGTTTAGGTGTTTATTACCTGCTGTTTTTCTAGGTGGAAATGGTTATATTTATGCTATTGCATGGGATTATACAAAGGGTTTTAGTTTTGTGAATAAATGTCTTTAAGGACCTGCAAAATGTACATTTCACTTAGTATAGTCTCATGTTGCTAAGTTCCATACAGGATTTAATTCAATTACATGATGAGATGCTTAAAATCTTCCCAGCAATTTAAAATTATCAGTAGTAGATATCTAATGAAGACATTTTAATATTCTTTACTAAAATATTAAAATTAGCCAAAGTAATAATAGTAACAACAACAAAAGCTAATCACAATAGTCAATGTTCTCTTATTGATCAATGACTATGTGCCAGAAAGTCTGCTAAGGTTTTCATATGGATTATCTCATTTATAATGTTTCAAACAGAAACAAAATTTTAGTGACTTAACCAAAGTACCCCTTTTTTTTATTGAGGCAATAGAGAAATTATTTGAAAGATAAATATTCCTCAAAGGGTAGGATAAAATATACATAATTTTGTACGATGTACATCTGCTAATTTTAAAGTAAGTATTTTAAGGAACAAAGTGAAAACATGAGTGGTACTAGATGTGAGGCTAGTTTGTTCTTTTTTAGTTTAAAACCTAATTAAAATCTTACTATAGAATGGTTGGATTATTTAATAAATAAACTAATGTATTTGCTTCTAAGAACTTGCTTTGGATTTAGGAAGTAACATTAATCAAAAAGAGAATTTCACACCAAAATAGGAAAGTACTGTTTGGTGGCTTACGTCTATAATCCCAGCACTTTGGGAGGCCGAGGCAGGTAGATCACCTGAGGTCGGGAGTTCAAGACCAGTCTGACCAACATGGAGAAACCCTGTCTCTACTAAAAATACAAAAAAATTTAGCCGGGGTGGTGGTGCATGCCTATAATCCCAGCTACTCGGGAGGCTGAGGCAGGAGAATCGCTTGAACCCGGGAGGCGGAGGTTGTGGTGAGCCGAGATCGCGCCGTTGCACTCCAGCCTGGGCAAAAAGAACGAAACTCTGTCTAAAAAAAAAAAAGAAAAAAGAAAAAAAAAAAGAATATGTAACTGTAGGTTATCTCATTATTCTAGACATTATTGTAGAATGTTTGTTTCAGTAAATTATGATACAAGTATGGCTTTAATCTGTGTTTCAGAAAACTGTAAGAGTAGTGATTAATTTTAAGAAAACACAGAAGACCATAGTGAGAGTGAGTCCACACGCACCACTTCAAGAGCTTGCCCCTGTTATATGTAGCAAATGTGAGTTTGATCCGTTGCATACAGTACTGTTGAAAGATTATCAATCGCAGGAGCCCCTCGACTTGACAAAATCTCTTAATGACCTGGGACTAAGAGAATTATATGCAATGGATGTCAACAGAGGTAAGACAGATTTCTATTTTATTTATTTAGTGGGATGTATATATTTGTATATTTTTGTGCATTGTGTTTGCATGTAGGTATTCTCAAGTTCATAATGGCAGTTACTGGGTCCTATAGATAGAAGTATTTGCATGGCATTAGGAATAAGAAAACAAAATGTTAATAAATATAAATCAAGTTAAATATAACATTTAACTTAATTTCAGTTATTGAAATTGGAATTAAAACTTGTATTTTTTAGCCATCATCTACATTTTATATTTTTTCTTTCTCTGATTTTTTTTGGGGGGGGCATAGGATTTAACTTAATTCTTCATGGCTTTGAGGCTTAAACAGAAAATAAAAATTTACGTGTAAATTCGTTGTTATTCTAATCAAGTGTGAATTACTGTAGACTCATTATGATTTTTGTCTGAGTCTTAATTATCATTCAAGTTTGGAAGTTTCTTGCCAAATTTTTTCCAAGATCAACACCAAAATAAGTTGGCTTATGAAATGAATCAATCTTACTCAAAAAATTTTTGAAATAGCTTCCAGTTTTAATCTATAGAAATGATGTAATGTATTAAAATTTGGAGATCTTAGATAATGCTGGTTTGTGTGATGTCTAGTAGACAAATGCAAACATTTATTCAACATGAATCTGTTTCACTAAGCAAAATAAAAGTTTAGTGAAGCTGACAATTATTTACATACTCTTTGCATAGAGACTTCAAAGTTTTTCCTGAAGTTGTGGCTTTATATAATCCATAAACTACTTTTTCAACTCAGTGATGTTTTATACTTGAACAAACATCATCTTCACAGTCAATTTACCCTCTTTTATACCCCTCCTTCTGTAGCCACTTCCGTTACTGTCTTCAGTAAGTCATCTTTACAAGGTAAGATGTACGAATCAGTAGAAACAAATTATAACCTGAAATTGGATATATTGAAAATAAGCTTCTAATTTTACCTTTTCTTAACATCACTAATATGTTCATTCTGTAAGAGATTTTAACCTAGAAAATATTTGGGTTTTATGTCCTGAAAAAATTTATAGGTTCCTTCCCCTTGATTTCCAAATTTAATTGTAATAATTTCATTTCAACAACTGTTTAAAAATTATTCTAACAGTGTGGGAAAACATATTCTTTACTCTCATACAAGGAAAAATGATTTGCTAGGATCTTTATTGGGTACAACTGCTAATAGCTTGGTAGTAACAAGGAAGCATCTCAGATTATTTCACTGAACAGTAATTCAGAATAATGATGTTATATTAACCATATGAAATTTTGCAGTCATTGTTTGTGAATATTTTGTAATAACATGGAAAATGCTTACGTTGAAATTAGCTTTTATACCATATAAGTGTGTTTAACACAATAGGTGAATACATGCTTTTATATGAAATTGCTGAAAGGAAATACATAAAAAATTTCAATAGTGGTTACCTTTGGGTGGTAGGGTTATGGTAGGTGATTTATTATTATTATTTATTTTCTTTATAATACAGAATTACATAATGGGCATGCATTCCTTTTGTAGAGAAAAACTGTATTAAAAATTGTCCAATAATAAATTGTAGAAATCTTCTTTCACCCAGTAAGAAAAGTCTTAAATAATTGATTACCCTAATAATTACCAGCTTACTAAAAAAACAAGCCTTAACAAACTGCATATATTATGTGTTATTGAAATCTCACCTTCTACTTCTATAATAATAAGAGATTAGAAATAGTGATCTCTGTGGTTCTTTCTAGCAACAACATTTTGTTACTTGTACTTGACCTTTACTCCTAATTTTGCCTAATCCTAAGCAAATTCCATAAACTTTCTGGCCTCATTTCGAGGTTGTCGAATGTATTGATTTCTAATATCCCTTCCAGTAATGGAAGGATGTGGTTTATTCAGAATATGAAATGTTGTGGATAAATCTTAAGAGAGTGAAATATTAAAATTAAGAAAGCTTTACAGTATCAGAATCTACAGGGTCAATCCAAATGCTGTCAGTGCCCTTGCCTCCTTATTTTTTCTGATACTATTTTGAAAACTTAGAAGTTTCCATGCAATTATTTTTAGCCTGCCTTTTAGAAATAGAAATAGGAAACTACAGTATTTGAGTTGCTTTTCTAAATAAGCTCAAGGCTTTGCTTGTCTTACTGTTTAACCTGACTTGCTATGATCCCTGATATAGAACTTTAAGTGAAAACTTAAGGGCTAACTAGTGTGGAGGATGACCTGAAAATTTCTTCACCAAAAATAACCATGTGGGCCAGGCATGGTGGCTCATGCCTATCATTCCAACACTTTGGGAGGCCAAGGTGGGAAGATTGCTTGAGCCTAGGAATTTCAGACCAGCCTGGGCAACCTGGCAAAACCCCATCTCTACAAAAAATGCAAAAATTAGCCGGTTATGGTAGCACATGCCTGTAGTCCCAGCTACTTAGAAGGCTGAGGTGGGAGGATCACCTAAGCCCAGGGAGGTCAGGGCTGTGGTGAGCCACGACCCTGCCAGTGCACTCCAGACTGGGTGACAGAGTGAGACTGTCTCAGAAAAATAAATAAAAATAAAAAATAAATATAAAAAATATTCTGGTTGTATTTATTGTATTGCACAACCATATGAATTTTTCATCTACTGTTCTAAATTTAATTGTGCATCCTTATGCAATAAGTGGCGTATTCCATCTTAAAATGAAATAGTGGCAAATCTAAAACAAAAATACAAATATAAATAATCTTTAAATGGAGACCAGTTTTAGTTCTACTGTTTAATGCCTATTCGTCTTTGTGCAAGTTATTAAAATTCTCTGTTCACTTATAGTTACTGAGAGCGTAATGGAGTAATACCACTGCTTTCATATATATGTATTTTTTATATCCTGCAGGGTAAATGCTAGCATCTTCCAATGAGAAAAGGGGCTTAGAGTGATAACTTTTGATACTTCCCTCACAAGGTCATTCTAAGAAATATATTAGGCATGCAAAAAACTTTAACTATAAAGTGCTCTGCACGTGTTCATTATTATTAGTTGCTAGCGTTGTGAAACTCATTGTGCAGAATGTATGCTGCTTATTTAATATTTGAATCATCAGATTTAAAAGTTTTACTTTGTAAAGTAGTTTTCCTTTCATATGTTATTGAGGCATTACTATATTTATTTGGTGTTAACTAGCTTTCCTTTCCTGAAGTAGTCCCTATTTTGCCATAATTTATTTTGGTTTTTTTTAAGATAGGTATTTTAAATAAAAGCATTTAAGACTATATATTTATCTCTTAGTTTAGCTTCAGTTATGTCTCACAAATTTTAATACATAATATTTTATTTCAAATGTTATTGAAATTGTACTGTGATTTACCATAAAATCTATATGTTGCTTAGTAGAAGAAATATTTTTTGAATTTTATAGATCACCACTCATTGCTTTTCCAAGCCTTTAGAAAAATTCGCTACTCATTTATTGAAGAAACCAGGTCATTTGTCTTATAGCTTCCCACGTTCAGATTTTTACTGTTGCCTCCTGTGGTGTCACTTAGTGTTTAACTTATTGCCAATGTCATTGAAATTTTATTTCAGTGTAAATTTCCCCTCTATTTCCTGTAAATTGATGGTTAAATCTAGAGGCTTGATCAGATTTTGGCAAGAGATTTTTTTGGCAAGAATACTTCACAAGTGTTGCTGTGTACTTCCATCAGCAAACATGTAACGACGAGTTCTTTTTTTCTAATGTTAGCCATCAATGATCTTTGTCTACATCTTAGTTAATTAGGAGTCGAAAAATAGTGAAAATCTATTGCAATCAATATTACTAAAAAAGCAAGCTGCCCCATGTCAGCTATATGGCTGCTACAGAGGTTGAATTCAATCAGAAAAAGGTAGAATAGGCCAGATGCGGTGGCTCACGCCTGTAATCCCAGCACTTTGGGAGGCCACGGTGGGTGGATCACCTGAGGTCAGGAGTTCGAGACCAGCCTGGCCAACATGGCGAAACCCCGTCTCTACTAAAAATACAAACATTAGCAAGGCATGGGGGCGCACGCCTGTAGTCCCAGCTACTTGGGAGGCCGAGGCAGGAGAATTGCTTGAACCCAGGATGCGGAGGTTGCAGTGAGCCAAGATCACACCACTGTGCTCCAGCCTGGGCCACAGAGTGAGATTCAAAAAAAGACTCCATCTCAATAAATAAATAAAAAAGAAAAGAAAAGAAAAAGGTATAATAGTTTGATGATTTCCTTTCATCAGTTTTTAAAATAATGGACTGGTTCTCCAGCATAACACAAAGGTGAACAAAGAGGCTTTTTTTTTAGTATCATTATGAATGTATGAAATTAAACACATGTGACATGTTTCAGTTTATTGAGTTACTTTTATGATGTCCAAATTATCCTTACTTTTACTGGTAGAAACTATCTCAAGTTGGTTCCTGAGTCCTTTTAACACAACCTGGTAGACTTTGACTGCATTCTTTCTAGTATGACTAGATGTCCCAAGCTTATCTTGTACATTCCTTAATACCAACAGAGAATCAACCATTCTCAAGTAATCATGGTTTCTTTTAATGAGAAATGGAATTTAGAGCCAGTTTGGGCCAGGGAGTCCCAGCACTATTGGCTGTGTCATTGTTTGTTGGCCTTTCAGTTGATATTAGGAGATGCTTTTTGGAAAATTTTATATAAATATTATGTATGCAACCTTGAGGTTTGACATTTGCCATTCTAACTAAAGTAGGGCTTCCTAATTTTCAGCAATATTGACATTTGGGACAAGATAATTCTGTCATTGGGGACTGTCTTTTGCAGTGTACTATGTTTGAAATCCTCACTGGCCTCTACCCAGTAAATGCCGACAGCATAGTCTCCTAACCCCATTGCCAGTGGTGGCAATCAAATTGTCCCCAGACTTTGTCAAATGTCCTCTGGGGGGACAAAATTGGTCCCAGTTGAGACCCACCCTATTAAAGAAATAACTTTTATGAAACATTTAGCAGAGTACCGAGCAATTATAATGACTCACATTTTGTAGAAGAAAATATTTCATGTAGTTTAGCTGTGAGAGCAAAGTATAATAAAAGTAAAGGAACAAACTGTGTGGTAGCAGTTTCATATCTTGTTTAATTCGAAGTATCCTTTCTATTTTATTTCCGCTTCTGAAATGTTGTATAGAACACAGACTCTGAATCAAAAAAATTGAGTTTGTGGTATAGCTCTGTCATTTCCTGAGTGTTCGCCTTGATTATGTATCTTAGTTTTTTAAGCTTCAGTTTCCTCTTCTGTGAAATAAGAACAATATTTGCTTGTTGCTTTGAGAACTTGATAAGATTTAAGGTGCTTAGCAGAGTGCCTTGTTTGTAGACTACAATTAGTAGCTTTTAGCATTAGATAAGTTTGCAAAGGGGAAGTAAGAGAAAGAAATCTTGGAATTGAACAGTCAACCTCACGTACAAAAGTAAGATGCTTTTCTTCTATTTTAGAGTCCTGCCAAATATCACAAAACCTAGATATTATGAAGGAGAAAGAAAATAAAGGGTTTTTCAGTTTTTTTCAACGCAGTAAGAAAAAGCGGGACCAAGTAAGTATTTTCTTATATTGCATTTTGTAAGATTCTTCAAGTATTTTTAATTACTAATGCTTTTTACTAATATCTTGAAATTACTAGATTTTGGCTTTGTCGTTCTTTACCAGACTGCCAGTGCCCCTGCAACTCCTTTAGTAAATAAGCACCGCCCGACTTTTACGAGGTCCAATACCATTTCCAAACCATATATTTCCAACACCCTGCCATCGGATGCACCCAAGAAGAGGCGGGCTCCACTGCCTCCGATGCCAGTGTCTCAGAGTGTCCCCCAAGACCTTGCACACATCCAAGAGAGGCCTGCTTCTTGTATAATGAAATCCATGAGCGTGGATGAGACAGATAAGGTGCGTAGTTTTGTTTTCTATTTTGTTTTTTTGGATGAGGCAGGGTACCATTTATTTTTCCTCTTACCTAACTTGTCCTTTCTAGGTAGACTAGAAAGAAGTAGTCCTATAACAATTGGTAATTAGTAACAGTTACTAATCGGTAATAAGATGAATAGCTCATTCTAAGATTGGTACTAGGAATAGATCTTCTGTATACGTACAGGTCTGTGATGCAGTAAAGGATAAACGTCCATTTTAAGTAACTTTCATATTCAAGCGAAAAAAATATCCGAAAACTAAAGTCTTGGTTTACTAAGGCCTGACTAGGGGCTCTTGCTTGGTGCATGTAATAGGAATGGAAATACAGTCTTTATTTTTGAATAATTCTTTTTTAAACAGTAACACAGTCTTTGAGTTGTGTTCATGGGTTTCTAACCACATGTATCTTCTTGACCTGACTGAGATTCTCCAGGGAATAGCCTGGTATCTACCTAGTACATAGATACTCCACAGTGAAAAAAGAAAATGAGCCTTTTTATTTAGAATATATCACAGTTACCTCTTATCTTCAAAGCACAGTTCTATGTGTACCTTTTCCTCAAAGTTTCTTATTACTCACCTTTAATCTCAAATTTTCCCTGAGTTTGCCATTTTGTGGAGATCCATTTGCAAACTACTTTTCATTACTAAACAATCCGCGTATTCCTTGCTTTATCCATGTGAAAAATAAATGAATTTTTAGGTATATATAATTGAAGATGAGACTGTATATATTGTTGCTGGTAATCAGACAGAATGATTTAAGTAACTTTGAGAGCAGATTTTATTTGGAGATACTTGAGACGCTGAGAAGTTTTCTTGTATCTAGTTGAAAGATTTCGTTTCTCCCTCGGGAGCTTAGTAAATGCAATGCTAAAGTAAATTAACTCTTCCCAAGCACCTGATACACATTTCTGTGCTGCTTTGACTTAAAATTAACCATAGTTTTAAGTGTAGTTTATAGACTATCATATGTGCAACTCAAAGAGATAGAAATGAATTTTGAAAATGCTTAACCTCAGTACTTGGGAAATGATCCATTAAGTTTCTTATTTCTATTAAGATTTTCTTGTCTAATCTAGTATTTGTGGTATAAAATCTCATAAAATCTCATCTAGTCTCACAAATCAGGAGGATAATGTTTTTGTCAAGTGATAGAATCATATAGTGGCAAAGAATTTGCAGGGTAACTGCTTGAGAGTTAGGTGAATCTTCACGGAAGAGATGATTCTTGAGTTCACTCTTAAAATATGTGCGGGATTACATTAGGCAAAGGAACCGTGTTCAGAGATGCAGGAATGTGAACACTATGGCTTGCCTAGGCATGAGCAAGAAACAGAGATTGAAATTAAGCATGGTAAGCAGGAGTCAAGTCAGGGTCCCAAAGACTTTGTTTTGTGCTTGTAGCCCTTTTAAATTTATTCGCAATAAGAAGTAGCATTTTTAGGGTTGTTATATCATAAAAGAGTGTAAATTATACTCTTGAGTAGCCACGTTTTTGCATATATTAATATATATAGAAATATACTTTAGCCCATGCTCACAAATCTTTATTCTAGCTGGCCTCATCCAATCTATTTCAGTAAACTTCCTTTGTACTTGGTTCCCCAAGAGGTCTATGTTGTCTTTCTAGTAGTCTGTTTCTTAAAATTCTGGGCTGCGCTACCAGTGACCTCACTGAAAGCTATTTCTTTTGAAGCTCTCCCTCTGCTCTGTGACCAGTTGCTGCCCCTGTGTTAAGTAATCTTTTTTTTTTAGTATGTTGCCTTTGGCAGACTACACATCTTTGTACAATTTTCTAATTATTTTTTCTTTTGATCTGGACATCTGGATAGTTCTTTGATGTATTGTTCAGTAGGACCCATAATTATTTGTTTTTCCCTAGAGAAGCTGAAGAATTATTTTTTATTTATTCATGGCAAAAATAATAGTGATTAAGCTGTAGTGCACACACAAATTCATATCTTCCTAGGCATCTCTGCAACTAACTTCTTGATGTATTTGATGTGATTAATTACCCCCTTGGTCTTGATTTGTCTTTTTCTTCCTTGGTCTTCAGCCTCTTCTTATATCTCAGCCCTCTTGTATTTTTTTTTTTCTTGTCACTACTTTATTCATTTTCTAAATTTGGAGGTACTAAATCCATGGTCGTGGTCTATATTTGTGCACTCTTTCAGAGAAGACATCTCTTCTTTTTTGAGTTTGTGGGCTGATGGTTCTCAACTGTAGTGGTTTGAATAATGTTCCTTGCAAAAGGTATGTCTGAACTCTAACCCCTCCAAAACCTATGATTCTGACCTTATTTAGAGATAGAATTTTTGCAGTTGTACTTAAGGATCTAGGGATGAAGTCATCTTGTATTTGAGGTGGGCCCAAATCCAGTGACAGGTATCTTTATAAGAAGAGGAGACACACAGGCAGAGAGACACAGAGAAGGTAGTATGAAGACAGAGGCAGAAATTGGCATTATGTTGCCACAGCGAACCATTACCAGGAATCAGTGGAAGCTGCAAGAGGCAAGGGAGGGTTCTCCCTAATGCCTTCAGAGGGAGCATGACTCTGCCAACACCTTGATTTGAGATTTCTGGACTTTAGAACTCTGGAAGAATACATTTGTGTTGTTTTTAGCCACCCAGTCACGGTAATTTGTTAGGGCAGCCCTAGGAAACTATACATCAACTTTGTAATTCCAATCTCAATATTCTTCCAGTTGCAATTTGAATTCACAGTTGCTATTGACTCATCACTACCTGGAAGATGTATTTAACACCAACATCATTGTTTTTCTACCAGACTGAAAATCTCAAGATCAGCTTTGATTTTCTTTTTACATCTAATTAGAGACCAATCCTTCATTCAGTCTCCCTTCATGATGTCTTTCATTCCCTCTGCTGACATCTTTTGTAGAGAAATCCAGGACAGAGTATAAAGAGAAAACCAATACTTAACATGTCATTGAAATACTTAATGTGGCAAGCTGCTGCATTTGTATTTCTTAATTATCACTTCTCAGTTCAGAAATTTTGCATAGCTTGTTGTCTTTTTTCTGGGCATTCAAGATCCTCTACAGAATGATCACAATTTTATTTTTAAACTTTTTAATTCCTCATCATTTATAGGATAGGATAGGATACTTGTATCTCTAACCAGAAGATTTGACTTATTGTTGCTGATGCAAAATCCTGTGTTCTGTCTTTTCAGAAGGGAATGGCCCCACTTCCATCTTCTTCATTTCTACTTACGGTAAGTAAGAATGAAGAATGAATTCTACTACTTACGGTAAGTAGAAATGAAGAAGATGGAAGTAGGGCCATTCCCTTCTGAAAAGGATGTCCATTCTTTTATCAGATTCATGGAGAATTTTCAAAAGATTCCAGCACAGAATAATCCTTACTTTCTCTGAATTTGTCTCTCTTGTCCCTTTTTATTTTCTCTTAATTTGCATTATGTATAGGTTGTATATGTTATTCTAAAGGTAAAACGAGGAATACAGTAAAAATTCTCCTTCCCTATCCCCAACCAAGTTATCCTGCCCAGAGGCAACCACTATTAACAGTTTCTTGTGTATCTTTCCAGAGATCATGTATGCATATTTAAACCAATATTCATGCTAAATATTTTTTTTTCCTCAGGTGGCCATATGCTACATGCATGTTATACTTTACTTTTTGGTATGGAATGATTTATTCTGGATATTCTTAGCAGTTCATAAAGGGCTTCACCTTTTTGAAGGATTGCATAATATTACATTGATGGGTATAACATGACTTACTTACCTCATCTTCTAAAGATAAACTTTAGGGTTGTATTATGGCTTAATGCTTGCAGCATTGTTAAATTTTGCCTTTTTCTTTTCCCCACCCAGAGGGCAGGAATTGTGTTCTCCAGCAAAATTCTGTAACATGGTAGGTGTTCAAGAGAATTGATAAGTAAACATTAATCAATGCTTTCATAGTCAGGTGCAGTATATACAATGAGAATGTGTCACACTTATATCATAAAATTTTAGTATGTCATTCATATATCTGGTAAATTTTCAGAAGTACTTGGATAACTTAAAGATTGCTTACGTTTACTTTTATGGTAATTGGACCATGTAATTTTTAGCAATATATTTCTTAAGCTTTTATAGAAAAGCCAGAATTTAGATAAGGTTATATTGAAAACTTAAGGTCCAACTAAACTATACTGTACATTGCATAATGCTTATAAGTATAAACGATCCTTGAATTAAAATTGTTTATAGCCCAGGCTTGGTGGTTCATGCCTATAATCCCAGCACTTTGGGAAGCTGAGGTAGGAAGATCACTTAAAAGCAGGGAGTTTAAGACCAGCCTGGGCCACAAAGTAAGACCCCTGCCTCTACAAAAAAATTAAAAAATAAAATAAATCAGCCAGACATGGTGGTGTGTGCCTGCAGCAGTCCCAGCTACTCAGGAGACTGAGGTGGGAGGATCACTTGAGCACAGGCATTCAAAGCTACGGTGAGCTGTGATCTCACCACTGCACTCCGGCCTGGGTGACAGGGTGAGACCCTGTCTTTAAAAAATAATAATAAACTTTAAAATAGTAAAAGCATGGTTTATATAGCCAGATGCAGATATTCAGGAAATTCAGCAAAACATATGAATTTATGAGTGAATCTTACTTATTTCACTGCTTGCTTGTTTTAAATTTAAAATCAAAGATGGTCGTTATCACTATAAACATTTGTATCTATTTTAACAATTTAGTTTTGAATTTGAAAATGTAAAATGTCACTATTTTTAGTGATTGAAAATGATAGCATGTTGAGGAAAACATAACTTGGAAGAAAAATATGTATGACCAAATTGGTTCTAAGTATGTGAATTTTAGACACACTTTTATTTAATTTTTATTGTTCAGGATACAAAATAAACCACAAGGGTGCGCTGTTTGACAGAAGTACAGCATTCTAATTTTTCCAGTTTTTTCCTCCAAAGCACCTTTTAATAAAGCAGAAGAAAATACTGGAAATAGTTACATTGCATGAGAAATAGAAAATGCTTCTTCATGTGGGTAAATAAAGCTAGAGAGATAAATGTCAGTAACACATGACAAAGGGATTTGTAATTAGCAATTTTATTCATTTTGAGTTTTTAATGCATTTTATTGTTCTTTTAAGAGCCACAGAAACTATGTTTGCCTTAGTCAAGGTTTACTGATGTCAGTAAATCTGTAGCTTAGGAAAAATTTTGTCAACCACATTTATTTTATACTTTTTGGCTGTCTATATTTAATAATTTGCCTCATTCATCTAAGATATTTCTCAATATTAGCAAATTAAAGTATATGGATGGTGAGTTTTTTAGAGCTCATACTGAAAATGCTCACATAAAAAACTGTTGATTTGCTGAGCTAATTTGGCAAACTAATTGTGCCGTTTCCAAAGACTATTCAAAGTTAGCAGAGATAGCAAAGATCCAAGTTAGCAAATGATTTAACCCAACCTTTCTTAGAATATTTCTGCATCTAAAATTATTTTTTCCATCTAAAGAATACATTTTGAAGAACATATATTTTACTATTATTGCTGCAGTATCCTTTCATATCCCTAAATTTCTCTGTACCCTCTTTCACATTATTTCAAGTCTCATGTCATTTTTCCTATAAAGGTGAATATACCATCCTCTATGAAAATGTTCATTTGAAAAGAAAACTTTCCCATTAGAAATTTTCTGGCAGTATTTCTTGGTAGTTTTTGAGCATTTTTTAAATATGATTTTTCCTGATGATTTGAAATGCCATTTGTGTAACAAGACATGTAATAATGCTTTATTTATATGACTCATATAATATATACTCTTATATAAAATGTACATAGTCATTTACAATAAGATTGTCATTTGTGAAATGGGAAGTCAGAAATTCGATTACATTGACTTAAATTGAAAGTGACTTAGAATTCTCAGATAAATCTAAGTTCAGAAATCTAGTTTCTGCACCGTATCTGCTGACCAAGAGTTTATGAAGAGAACATTTAATAAAATCAATGGCCAAAGGATGTTCTGGTCTTATTGACAAATTAGCCTCATAAACTGATTTTACATTTGAATAAGTGGAAGAAGAGTCAGGAAAAAGCATTGGGTAATCTTGACCCAAAGAATTCATAGAACCTTTTGGAGAATTTTGCATTTGGCACATTTAGTGTGACTGCCGCTTGGAATGATGAATATACAACAGCAATCCATTTTTCCCCTGGCTATGGGCATGGCACATCATTTTGTTTGGGACATTACATTGTGGCTGGAAACACTATAAGAAGTGATCTTCATTGGGCATTTTATTTTGTCTCATTTTGCATCCTGCTTCAGACAAACACTCAACTATTGAGAAATGGAGACTCTTTGCCATCTAGTATTATGCAAGTGAAATTTAATACCTAGAGTGTTAGTTTTAAAATAACTGACTTAACTTTTTAAATGTTTTACATTATTCATCTTTTACCCAATTTTATATTCTAATGTATATCATGGTTTATAAGCAGATACGATGACATATTGTCATATACTTATGAAATGTACAGGTACATATTTTGCTATTTTACTTAATTTTAATCTTAGTGATTTTACATAGAGTATGTAAGGTTGTACCCTCTGTTTTAACAGAGTATGTATTTGCAATTTTTAAGAAACACACCCCTTTTTAGATTTTTACATAGGTTGTCACATTTTATTTTCCCCTCCATTTTCCTCTTATATTTATTATATAGAAAGTGGACCACACGCATAATTCTACAATTGCCTAGAAACAGTGGTTACCATGGCATTTGCAGTTTGCTGTACAGAATACAGCTGTCTGTACTTCCAAAAATATGATTGGTTTCATTCAGTAGAGAAATGTACCAACACAGTATAATATTTAATCTGCTCCCCTTTTTAAGGCTTTCCTAGATATAACACATACTTTACCACTGTAGTTTTCGTCAGATTTTCAAAGGGTCATAATCACAATAACAAAAGCAATGGTGAATGCTTATATAATGCTTACTAATGTTTCAGACAAGGCTCTAAGAACATTACTTATTTAATCCTTATGACAACCCTCTGGGCCATTCCATTTTAGGTTTCCGACAGTTCTACCTCTGGCCTAAAAGTAAAGAACTATGAATTATGAGGAATCAATGAGTTGTTAAACTTTAAGGAAAAATATATTATTCAAAGAGCAGTAGGTCATTTGTGGAATTAATGTGGATTTCTCGTTCTTATCTATTAGTATATAAAAAGTCATACCTCTCTGAAATAACAGGCTGAGTTAATAAAATACTATTGAAAATAATTAGTGTTAGGAGGCTTACTTTACCAGTATGAAGTTTACTTAGTCTCTGTACCTCTGTGATGTTTGTGACCTCATGGGGAGATTTGCCTTTCTCTAGTAACCAGCATGTGTTAACAGAGGCCAGGGCAGATAGAAGCAGGCCTCTTTCCTGGAATCACAGTGATAACCTTATGGTGTCACTGGGATAAGCCTGCTCCCAACCTTAATTCCCTTTCTGGATGAACTGAGTTGGCCCCAGTTTGTTTGATTGACTGTAGCTTCACTCTGGTATAGGTCCTAAACTCGGTTAACTTCTAGATTATTCACATTCTCCTACCCTGTGGCTCGGAGGGTCTGTGATCACAGAGAATCATGGTTACCACCATTCCCCGTCTTTTAAACTTGATCCTGAGCTCTGCTTTCTGGTGGTCCATCCTGTTTTTTTTTTTTTCATCCAAGATGTACCATTGAGCTAGACCCTCATCACTGGGCTTTTACTAAATGCTATATGCAAAGGATTATCACGAATAAGACTTAGTTTATATACTTTATCAAAGTATCATAGGGTTGATGAAAGCACAGATTGCCTCAGGAAGACAAATGGAAAAAACTTACAGGGGGATAACATGGGATTTTTAGTGTGTGTGTGTTTTCTTTTTGTTGTGCCTAGAGAAGGGCTGGAAAGAAGAAGTCCTGACCTGGCTCGAGAGAGAGAATCTTGAATTCCACTAATAGGTCTATTATCTTTTTCTTTGCTGTTGTAATTTTTTTTCCTTCACCTTCGCTGAACTTCTCTATGACTTAGTTTTCTCCTCTGTAGAATAAGGTTGTGTAATTAAATTTCCCAAAGTCTCTTCCAACTCTAGTATTACAAAATTATGCTATTTTGCTATTTTTTTAAAATTGGCCTCTAACAGATAAATGTGCTTGTTTTGGTTTGATCGACATTAACGAGATCATGGTGTCTAATCCTGGCATTACTCCTCTGAGGATTTCGGAAACTTAAAGTACAATAACAAAATAAAACATTGACTGACATCTTTCTTCCCAAACTCCTGACTGTAACACAAAAGTTAACACAATTGCATAGGTATTGCATTACTAAAAAGAGGTAGAAGACTTGATGATTGATGAAGACATGCTTGGGTTAATGAGTTTGTTAACCATGGGATACAAATGTTACCATTGACTAATGATGAGTTTTAAAGTAGATGACTTTAAGAGAAATCTAGTGGCAAGCTTGACCACTCAGAACTCAGAATCCCCTAAATGGGTTTAATTTTAGTAACCAAAAAGGGACAAGTTACTGTTGGTGGTGGTATTTAGATCACATATAAGTGAACCTAGCTGTAACCTCATTGCTTCCTCTCATAGTATTTATTTCAGCAGATTGGTAGGAGCAGCTTTAAAATTGTCCACATAGTGATAGCTGGCCTAGTGTAGATGTAAGAGCTCCAGACCCTGGTACTGCTGTCCTATTTCTCCTCTCGTTATTACAGTTGTCTGAGATCTGACATACCACCTCTATTCCTTATACTTCTTCACTTTGATGTTATATGACTTTTCTTAATCTACAAAACCTAGGCAGGCTAAGATTTCCTATGCCATCAGTGAAGAATCTTAAAACAGGTTTATATAGAGAATAAAAAACTAGAATGTATAAGCTCTAGATTTTCAGGAGTGGGGAGGAAGTGCCATCCAAAGAGGAAAAGGGTGTAGAACAGGGAGATACAGGATATCAGAAATAAACATCCCCCACCCCACCAAAAGATAACATTTTATTTTTACAAATCACAATAATATAACGAAGAAACTGGCATGTATGCTTTCATACAATGCAAGCCAAAATTTGCATGCACGTGTGTGTGTGTATCTATGTTTATTATGTATATACAGGTGTAAAACGATACACATGTAATAATGGACACCAAAACTTCTATGAGGCGACTTTTATTTGGGATTTACTGATTTTTTTTCCTCATCATTATATACATTATTTGTGTCTTGTGAGATTGAGCTAATTTTATCACATCAACTATAAAACTGATTTTATTGTGATAAAAACAGCTTATTTTGCGAATTCAGTACAAGACCTCGTACTTCTAAATTACATTTATTATAGTGTAACAATAATATGTATAATAATGACACTTAAAATTGGCTTGGTTGTCTAAGTTGTAAAATTGTTTTTGCATTCTTCCATGAAGAGTTAAGAGTCAAAACTTGACCTTCAGATATACGAAAGTTCAGTTATTGGGACACAATACCAAATATCATAAATTAATGTCAATTTGTAAGATATTTTATACTATTTAATAGTGTTTATTGGGAATTCCAGGTTGGAGAAGAATAATGTGAGTCTGTCCCTTGAAAAAGAAAACATGAGTTTTCAGACAATTTCAAGGGATTGTTTACATTCTCTCCACTAACCCCACCCTTTTCCACCTGTGAAAATCATATTATAAACAGAACCAACAGATTCTATTAGAAACATTTAACAACATTATTGAAGTTGGGCTTCTATGTTTCTATCCCCTAATTGAGTGTTTTTATTTTCCGTGTGTATTCTTTCATTTAACTCTTTTTTTGGGGAGGGGGGTCTCAGTTCAGTCTTTCCTTGTTTGTTAAATATCAACTTTTCCTGCCTAGTGGGCTGAGGTTCATTTTCCCTTTCCTCAAGGTTAGGGTAGACTATCTAGGAACTTATTGCATCTTTAGGCCGGCTGGCTTAGTGCTACCCATCTGAATCCCCAGATTACCACCCAAGTCTTCCTTTTGCCCCTTCCTGCCCTAACAGCAAGTACTGGGGCAGTCCCTTCCCCAGCAAATGCCAGGGGCTTCATGTGAAGAGGAACTGGCCACAAGGCTGTGAGGGGAGGAGGAGAAACTGTTTCTGCAGGAAGGACAGCAGTGCCTCCAGGCTCTTGGGCATCTTCACATGTTTCTAGAGAAAGGACAAACTCAACTCTCAAGCCTCTAGTAGACAGAAGGCAGGAGGCAGGGAGTATGGCCTGGGCTTCAGACACCGCTGTTCTGGTTGGATCCACAGATGATGAAGGCAGGGTTCCTGGCACCCAGAGTCACGGAGGGCCACAACCAAGCCTTTTCACTAGAAGGGCAGGCAGTGCCCATTCATCTTATCAGAGGTAACCTCAGCTGTGGACCCGAATGGAGTGAACAAAGGGAGTCCAGGCCTCCACTCTGCTCTAGAGATGGCAGTGTCCAGGCTCCTGATTCCCAGGAAGCAGGGAAGCTAAAGAAAACCTGGAAAGACACTCTGGAGCAGCAGGATGGTCACAACAATAAGCCCGACACACAGCAGGAGCAGGAGCCACACAGGAAGACTCTGCAATGAAGGCAACAGATGCAGCTGGCAATGACTGTCCACAGCCACAGAGAACCGGGCAGTTTCATGGGACCCAAGGAGCTCTGGACCACGACCCTTCTCAGGTAGAAAGGCCACATCTGTCACCACAATGCCATGGGCCTCCCTCACGTAGTAGAGGCACTGGAGAGAGAAAGCTATGTAGATGGCAACAGAGCCAGTGACCGTGCCCAGGCCTAGGAAGGTGCCAGACTCACTGACATTGAGGCAGGAGATGACTTCATGGCCACAGGACTTGGTGCGAAGGGGCAAGAAGTTGGAGCCATCCCAGGCTGTGAGGTAGCAGGGAGCGGGCTGGCGCAGGCGCTTGTGAGGAATTTGCACTGTGAAGAGTCACAGCCCAGCAGGCTGGTCTGGAACCTGCCCAAACCTGCAGGCCTGATAATGGTAAGGTGTGCTGGAAAAGGTGGATCCATTCTCTTGCCAGTGCAGCTGTGTCACCAGCTGATCCTTCTGCCACACAGAGGCCTTAAGGTCCTGTCCCACGGTTACCAACTTGACATCAGGCCCTAAAGCCAGGTCTTCAATCTCCCCTTCGTGGGCTTTGAACTCCAGAACCTTCTCCAGCCCTGGTACCTTCCAGACACGAACATAGCCATCTGTCCCTCCAGTGGCAAGCAGGGTATTATCGTGGTTGAAGCACACAACTTTCTGCAGTGGATCAGAGCTGAAGTCTGTCTGCACTGCCTGCAAATTCTCTACCCTGAGTTCTAGCCCCTCGTGCTGAGTTTCCGCGCCACATTTCTTCTCTGCTGGGGCTGCTCCCTCCCTTTGTCGAGGCCCCTGCTCCTTGGAACCTGCCTTCTCTGCCTTGTTGCCCTTCTGTTGATGGGCCTGGAAGCGCAGGAGCTGACAGTGGGCATCCTGCCCTGCAGCAAGGATGTCACCAGTCAGTGGCAAGTTCATGGTGACCCGTGTCTCTGTGTCATGGGAGTGCAGCAAGGAGGCACTCAAGCGCCCATTAATCCGCTCTAGCTGCAGAAAGTGCACGCCATTCTTTATGGCTGCCTTGGCGGCGCCTCCTCTGCCCGCAGCGATGAGCAGCCCAGTGCTGGGGTCGACCTGAAGCGCGTACAACGGGAATGGAGCCCGGTACAGTTCTCACGCCCGGCGTGGGCCCGTGCCGCCCGGCGCGCGTTCACTGCCCGCACCAGGGCACCCAGGACATGCCGGCACCCAGGACGTGCTGGGCCTTTGACTACTGCCCCGGCCGCTGGTGAACTCGGCCCCGTCGCCGCCTGGAGCACTCCGTTTTCATTTAACTCTTTAATCCAGGATACTTCGATTTCAGTGACCCACATTTTATAGTTCAACTATGATTAATAAGTGATCTAATAACTAGTACAGAGCAGGTATTCAGTAAATCTCTTGAATGCCATTTGATTCTATTTTCTTCAGCTAAATTTAGTTCAATTTTGAATCAGAATTCTGATCTGGGTGTGAATTCTGGGGGATTCAGGTGAATTCAGGTTGAAAAAATCTGGCATGGTTTTCAACCTGACCTTACCACTTTCATTAGTAGATTCTGTTTCTCCTTGTGGTATTTTCCTTTTTACAGACCATAAAATTTGGTGATGTGCATTCCTGTTAGAAGTGCAGTTTTCATTAATGGCAAGCAGATTTATCAGTGACTCTGACTAAAGTAAATAATCCAACATCGCTAATGATTAACCAAAGCAGTTTCCCCTAGTAAGTAGAAACCTCTGTGTTTTCTCATTTTGTAAAGCCTTTAGACTTAATAAATTTTAATGTCTACCACTTTTTAAAATGTAGTCATAATTTGAACAAAGAAAAGGTTTGTTGATAGTAAAAGCTGAAGACAGTTATAAATAGTTCTTTAATTTTTCACACTGAATTTGCTTATAAGACATTTCAAATGTATGTACTGTAATACACATCCATGAATTCACTGATTCAACAAAGTAGTGTTAAATATTTAACTTTTATTAAAGTCCTTTAAAGTATGTTGAAGAGACCTGAGTTGACTTAAAGGTGGAGATTTTTAGACCCACAGTGAATGTTTATACAGTAGACTAAGCATCGGTTCCTGAACGCTGGGCACTGTTGAGCTTTAAGGTTAATTATTACTGAGACTGATTCCAATAGGACTGTTACCAACACAGTCACCAGAGAGTACAGTCTTAAAGTAAATACCTCTTTTTACCTATACTTTTTACTCTAACATCTACATAATTATAATTCTTACATTATTTGCAGAACATTTTCATGTACTTTAAAATAGACAAATTAGATGTAATAATATCAGCTGATGGTTATGAAGCACATATTGTATGCTAGGCACTGTGCTATGTATTTTACATATAACATTTCATTTAAGCATCGCAGTCCCTTTTGACATAGGTGCTGTTACTTTTCCTTTTTGTGAATGAGGAGACTGAAGGTCACAGAGACAATTAATGGCAAGCTTTCTGGTTCAACCGCTTGTATTGACTCCAAAACCCATTTCTTTGGGAATCATTGTAATGGGCTGCCTTCTACCTTCCTTGCAAACTCCCTGTAAGCCTCTCTCCAACTGGACAAATTCACATTCAGAAATAGTGGGTAGTTTAGCTCTGATGAATGCAAGAGCAGAGCTATTGGGAAACTATTTGGAGTATACTCCTGAAGTGCACAGAAGAAAATACAGCTTAAGAATGCTGCTGCTGGCCAGGCACAGTGGCTCACGCCTGTAATCTCAACACTTTGGGAGGACAAGGCGGGTGGATCACAAGGTCAGGAGTTCAAGATCAGCCTGGCCAAGATGGGGAAACCACATCTCTACTAAAAATACAAAAAAATTAGCCGGGCATGGTGATGGGCGCCTGTAATCCCAGCTACTCAGGAGGCTGAGGCAGAGAACTGCTTGAACCTGGGAGGCAGAGGTTGCAGTGAGCTGAGATTGTACCACTGCACTCCAGCCTGGGCGACAGAGCGAAACTCCGTCTCCAAAAAAAAAAAAAAAAAAAAAAAAAGAATGCTGCTGCTTAGGTATCAGTGATCTTCCCACTCTTTTAATTTAATTTACTTTTTTAGCATTCTAAACTCATGATGTATATTACTTAAATGCTGTGGCAGTTTAGTAAGGTTGCTTTTAGCATTAGTCATTCCTGGGTTTGGAGCCTCTCCAGTCTTGCATGTTAGATATGTATATTCTCTGTAAATCCCAGTGTATACATGTGTTTTCCTGGCTACAATCTATTTAGAAATATCAGAGTCTTCTAACTTAAATGTCCCTTCTTTTCCTGCAGGCTTTCACCCCACCTCCCCAAGAGAAGGTTTTTTAGTAGGTGTAGAACATCTCTTTCTCAAGTCCCAGTTGTTCTTCTGTTTTGTGTTAAGAGTGATGTTTTAGTTAACACGCAATAACTCCACATTTGATTTTTATTATCTTAACTTTCCTTGGCAATTTCTTAAGTAATTGAAATTATTTTCCAAGAGTCTTCAAAAAACCTCTTGCTTCTGTATCTTATAGGACAACAAAAATATATATATTAAGCTTGAATGCTAATATGAATATTACTTATATTTCAAAAGAAAATTTACATTTCTGTCCATTAATCTGTTGCTTATCTAAACTCACTATTCTTATTTCTTCAAAACTCTTGCCTTTGCACGACTTATACCAATTGTTAAATTTACATTTTGTCCTCAACTTTAGTAAGTTTTAAGCATTATTAACAGCATAAGTTCCAGTTATTGACAGGCCACATAATTGTACTTCATATCAATTAGTGAAATCATGTTCACTTTCCTCTAATGTCTTTTTATTTTTATTTATTTATTTGTTTATTTATTTTGAGATGGAGTTTCACTCTTGTTGCCTAGGCTGGAGTGCAGTGGCGCGATCTTGGCTCACTGCACCTCCACTTCCTGGGTTAAAGCGATTATTCTGCCTCAGCCTCCCAAGTAGCTGGGATTACAGGCACACACCACTCTACCCGGCTAATTTCTGTGTTTTTAGTAGAGACGGGGTTTCACCATGTTAGTCAGGCTGGTCTTGAATCCCTGTCCTCAGATATTCTACCCGCCTTGGCTTCCCAAAGTGCTGGGATTACAGGTGTGAGCCACCGCACCAAGCCAATGTCTTTTTTCTTAGCCACTTTAATTCAAATTGCAGCTTTAGTAATGCATGTCCATTTACCATCATGATACCCATGCACAACATGGTAAGGCTGGTGAATGTCGCAGAATAGGGTGGTAAAATAACTGCTTCCCCTGATGTCCATGACTTTGTCTTTTCAATATGCACTTCCCCCAATTATCTTCATAAATGCTGTTGAAAAAATTTTAGCATTTATAAAACTGAAATATGTCTGTTTTGACAAATTTTAAATTCTTTATCCATAAAAATATAAATACTCTGTTTTACAAAAAGCTACCTTATTTTAAGACCTCTAGGCTGAATAATGAAATATATGAGTCTGTGGTTATTCTGTCTTTGAGTTATGAATAGGTTCATAAAAATTTGTGAGTCTGTATATATTCCTCCCTTTTATAATTCTGTACTGTCTGCTTTATTATAACCAAAATATAAGAGCTCTAACTCCCAAATAGATACTCTCATTGAGAAATTCATGTCATGGCTGCTTTTGTCATGGAAAAGACCAATAAGTGGCAATGATAAGGAATGTGACCTAACGATGAACACATTTTTATTATACACCTCATGAAAGCAATCAATTGAAACACGGGAAACATGGAACTAGGGAGGAAAATCAAATGCTGCTGTTGCTTCATGCATCAAGCTGCCACTTATTGATCACCTATTGCATTCTTACTGGTAAACTAGATCTGCCATAGGAGTGGAACTTGGCTTTAATAGGGCTTTACAGAAGTAAATCCAAGAAATAAAATCACATCTTCTACTGCTTTAGATTTGTAGGTAATTATTTTTTTAAAGTGAAGGGCCATATTCTTGTGGGAGAACTTTTGGCCTTTTTGTCTGATGTTTCCTAAATTTGTTACTCTTATAAGATATCAAGGAAAGGCTTTAGAACACAAAGACATTATCAGTAGAAAGATTTCTATTTAACCTTTATATTCTATTCAAAGCAATATTTAAATACTGCCAATTCCTTGGTGCATTTCTTTCTTACCTTTTTGTTACAGCGGGCCTTTGTTTTGAATTATTTCAAACATCGATTGAGAATCCACCCCCATGCCTACCCTAGTCAGGATGATCATAATATTTAGTCAGAATTGACTTTAGTGACTCTGAAACAAAATCCGATTTTGGATGGCAGGATTTAACTCTTTTCTTGCTGGATTATAGAGAAATCTGCAGAATTTTGGAGGAGGAATCAGAGTAATGGGATGGGGTTGGAGGCAGCTATTTACCAACTAGTAGGAAAGAAGGTTAACATTTCAACTATTGGTAAGACCTCCCTGGTGCCACCTTGTCCCACTCCCCTGTTATGAGGCACAGTCAGTGGGTTTGTGAGAGGTTTGTTCAGTGAAGCTCCTGCCTCTGTAGACCTAACAGTTTCTCTCCATGTTGAAGTGACCTGCCTTCCTCTTTAGTACCTAACACAGTTGGCAAAGAGCACAGCTAACTCAAACCCTTTTCTTTGGGAGCAGGCTTCCCTTTCTCTCTGGCAGATATATTTAAAAATTATAAAATAGTAAATTTGCCAAATTTTTCTTGGTGTGTAGCAAGATATAAAGACTGAAAAATATCTTATGAATTAGTTCACTTCCCTTAGACGTACCTATGTTGTCTTGTAAGACTAGACTGCCCCAGGCTTTACACATGCTCCTGGTCTGAGTACGTCAAGGTCTTTTATTTACAAATGAAGATGGCAGCATATCATTCATTTTTTATTCATTCAAGGAGTATTTACTTAGAAACCTCTGTGAGCCGGACATGGTTCTGGACAAACAGCAGTGAGCAAAATAGGGGAAAAAAGTCCCTGCCTCTGTGGTCAACCCTAGTGGGGGCAGACAATGTATAACGCAAATAAGTCAACTGTATAGTATGTTAGAGAGCAGTTAAATGCTGATCATAGAAATAAATCTAGGAAGCAGGGATAAGAAATGTTGGGAGTCAGGGAGGAGTTCGTTGAAGAGATGACATTTGACTGGGTATGGTAGCTCATGCCTGTAATCCCATCACTTTGGGAGGCCAAGGCAGGCAGATTACTTGAAGTCAGGAGTTCGAGACCAGCCTGACCAACATGGTGAAACCCTGTCTGTACTAAAAATACAAAAATTAGGCGAGCGTCATATTGCATGCCTGTAATCCCAGCTACTCAGTAGGCTGATGCATGAGAATCACTTGAACCTGGGAGATGCAGGCTGCAGTGAGCCAAGATCATGCCGCTGCAGTCCAGCCTGGGTGACAGAGTGAGACTGTCTCAAAAAAAAGACATTTGAGAAATGGCCTGAAGAAAATGAAGGGACACTGAGTTATCAGAAGAAAAAGCATTCCAGGGACAGGGAGCAGTAAAGGATGACCACCCTGTGATGGAGGAACTCTGCTGGCACATTTGAAGAGCAACAAAGAGGCCAGTGTGGCTGGAGTAGAGTGAGCCACTCCATTACCAAAGGAGGAGGCCAGAGAGAGCTAGATGCCAGATTGTTAATGGACTTATAAAGGGAACTATTAGTGGGTTTTAACCAAAGTTACTTAATCTGGCTTACATTTTAATAGGATCCTTTTTTATGATCTTTAAAGATAGCAGATTCTTTTTGCTGCTATGTTGAAGGACTGTAGGGAAACAATGTGGAGATGGAGTCTAATTAGGTGTTTCTAATGATTCAGACTGTGTAGTAGTAGTTAAGCTGGATGCTGGATATCTTCTAAGGGAAGGGGAAAAAGGGTTGACTCAGTGTGAGATGTGACAGAAGATGAGGGTGAATGGAAGGATGACTTGTTCTTTACTAAGACAGGGAAGGCTGTGAGACTAGGATGTGGCAGAGGGATAAAGAGGAATTATCATGATCTCAGTTTTAGACATGCTAAATTAAAGAGGCTTCAGACATTAAGGGGAGATCAGAACAGAGGTCCAAGATAGAGACATGGATTTGGAATTCATCGGCATACACATTATACTTAAAGAGAATAGATGAGATCCTCTGGAGAGGGAGCAGAGATACTAAATGGAATGTGTTCACAGACCACGCCCTGGGTCACACCAGTGTTGATCAGGAGATGGAAAGAAGCAGACACAGAAAACTGAGTAGCCAGAGAGTACGGATCTATGAAGAGTAAGAAATGTGGTCTCCTGGAAGAAAAATAATGTATTTTAGGAGGGTGATCAGCTTTGTTTAATGTTGCTAATAAGTTGCATAAGTGAGTTCTGAGAAGTGGCCATGGATTTCTTCATAGTCAAAGTCTTTGGTGACTTTGATAGGAATCATTTTAATGGATCAAAAGCTGAGAAAAGTATCGTTGAAAGGGTTCAAGTGGGATAAGAGAAATTAGAGACACAAACTGCAAACAACTCTTTTATTTATTTTTTCGAGATGGAGTTTCACTCTTGTCACCCAGGCTGGAGTGCAATGGCACGATCTCAACTCACTGCAACCTCTGCCTCTGGGATACAAGTGATTCTCCTGCCTCAGCCTCCCGAGTAGCTGGGATTACAGGCGCATGCCGCCACGCCTGGCTAATTTTTTTTTTTATTTTTAGTAGAGACGGGCTTTCACTACATTGGCCAGCTGGTCTCGAAATCTTTACCTCAGGTGGTCTGCCCGCCTTGGCCTTCCAAAGTGCTGGGATTACAGGTGTGAGCCACCTAAACAACTCTTCTAAATAGTTATTTATTCATTTATGCATTCATTCATTCATTCATTCATTCATTCATTCATTCATTCTTGGTAAAGGGAAAGAGCAAAGATGACATGGCCATTGGTCAGGAGGCACTGACCCCTGCTGAGGGAGGATGTCTTAGGGTCTGCTGACAGTCATGGGCTAGGAGTGTGAGCCGTAGCTGTTTCTGGTAGGTGACCTTGAAGGACCTTTCCTCAGGTAGACATACAGATTTTTGCAGTATTCCTCACTGAAACACTGCCGTTATAAAGAGGTAGATTTAATCAAGCTAGATGCTACTGTACAAATAATGTTTCCTTTTTCATCCCTTCCTTTTAATTTCTCCAGGTGTTTCTTTAAAAGTTAGTTTTTAACTCTGTTACTTATGAGTCCTCTACATTACAGTTAGTTGTTTGCGTGGCAGTCTCCCATTCTAGCCCAAGTTTCTTGAGAAAGGCCATATTTTATTTTTCTTTATGTATCTATCCCATAGCCCAGCTTCTGCGTGTGGCAGATGCTTCTTAAACGTTTTTAAGGAATGACTATTATGTTCCATTTGGGTACATCCTGTGTTTGACATAAAGTTCAGTGTCTTCCTAAAGTTTGCTACAGATCTCTAAATGTAGGATTCTATTTGGTCATTTTGTTTTCCAGAGTCCCTGTGAAGCAGGAAGAGTGAGGGCAGACTCACTGCAGCTCAGCAGCACATCTGCAGGGAATTCATCTTTGAGAAGGACAAAGCGAAAAGCACCTTCCCCACCCTCCAAAATACCCCTGCATCAAAGTGATGAAAATAGTTGCGTGACTGGTAATGTGGTTTTTTCATTAACATTACATTTGTATTGTGTTTTGTTTAATACGGACAGTAGGAAAGATATGGGTTTGTAAGTTATGCTTTTTAAATAATAATACTTAGGCTTTTAAAATACATCTTGATTAGTCTCACTTAACTGCCTTTTAAAAATCTGAAGCATCACCAAATAAAGTATCAAAATTATACAGCTCCATTATCCTGAGGTGAACATGTCATAATTCGTGAATATATTCAGAAAGATACTGCCATTTCAGGATTAGCTGTATGTAGAAAAGGGAGTCTAAGTGGATTTTAGTGTTTTACAACTAGATAGTAAAATGACTTCTAGCAAGGCTCACTGCTTTCTGAACAATATAAAAATAACTAAGTTAAACTGTTAAGGAATTGTTTTATTTGTGAATATGACTTTATAAGTAGTGTTGCTTCTTTCCTTTAGCCTTACAGCCAGTAGATGGAGTTCCTCCAGACAGTGCTTCAGAAGCAAACTCTCCTGAGGAGCTATCCAGCCCAGGTATGATGCCCTTATTCCACATGGTGTAATTACTGAAAAAGGACTTCTATGATAATTGAGAAATGAATCCATTTGCGATGCTTTATACATGAAAGAGATACAGATTCTTTGGCCTCATTTCCCAAATTCTGTTATTATGAAATGAATTCTTGCCTCCACCCCTCTGCCCCTCAACTCAATTAGAGTATGAAGCTGGCAGAGATCACAATTTCAGTTCTGGAATTGTCCTTGAGTAGTTTCTCTATGTAGTCTCCTGCTTTCCCTTATGCAATATCAGGTTAACATTTATTAACTCCTTCCCAAGGGTAATGACACACCATAATTAGGAATGTACCTTGGCGTGTGCAGAAGAAAACTTACAGGAAAGTGTAAGCACAATTTTTTTATGCAACTGTTCTAGGTATGAACTCAACATACAAGTTACCCTACTCTAATGGTAAAAATTTGTTACCATGAAAATGTTTTCTGTTGCAGTATATGGCTCTCCTCGTGCATTCTTCCCAAACAAAATTCCATTACAAGTTGTATAATTTATTCTAATACTTTTCTAGTATTTTTAATAATATCTACTTAGTAGCTTTTATAAGAAGTAAGATAACAATGTTTTAATCTTTACAGTTACTGTAAGACATCAATGAATGTGATAGACTAGTAATGTCATACCAAAAATAGAATATGATTATACTAGGACTTTATCATGGGGATAATTTTGTAAGTATAAAAAATGCTTAATATAACTCACCTGATTTTTGTAATTTATATTCTAAATACAGGAAACATTTAGGAGCAACACTCTTGAATCTTGAATCTTTAAGTGGTATTTAAGAATTTGGAATTTTAACATATATATGTAAGAATTCTTCACTCCTCTGTGATTTTAAATCTTACTCTCAGATAACTAGTAATGATTTTTCTCAGCTTTTACTCAGAATAATATAAATGGCCCCATTTTTTTTCCACAAAGAAAATGTATTGAATAATAACAATTAAAACTGTTGAGTGAAATTAGAAGTCACTGAAGCATTATAAAAAGGAGTGCATGCTGTTCAAACTTTGCTTCATATTTGTTTTTCTTCATTTTTTTCCCCTTTTACCTCTTGTTTAATGCATCGATAATTGTGAGCTAACAAATCTGATTTCTTCCAAAATGCTTCTTGGTCTCTGCTTGCCTTAACTCTGTTGTCTAAGTGCCATTTCTACAGATTCTACTTCTTTGGCAGAAACCTCCTTTGGCCCTGGGCTCTCCAGTCAGGAGCAGTGCACTGCGCCCAAGCTGATGGAGGAAACCTCTGTCTTTGAGTGCCCTGAAACACCTGAGGCAGCCATAACATCATTGACATGTAGGTGGTCAGGCCTTTCCTTGCTGGTGCTTTGTGTCAGGCAGATTAAGATATCATCAGTTGTAAATTTGATTAGCTGTTGAAACCTTGTGTGAACATATTTTATAAAGAAAGAGAAGTTTCCCCCTTTTCACTTGAAGTTTTATCTGGGTTTAGACTTTGTTGTTTTTCCCAACCACACAGATGAATACAACAGAGTGGATTAGTTAAATAAAATCAGTGGTTCTGAAGAATTTTAGCTTCTCTTCTATTTGGCTTACATATACTGAGGGGTCACTTTGAACACACAGTTGAGGCTGGGCTTGGTGGCTCACACTTACAATCCCAGCTACTCATGAGCCTGAGGTGGGAGGATCGCTTGAGCCCTGAATTTTGAGACGGCAGTGAGCTATGATCATGCCACTGCACTCCAGCCTGGGTGACAAAGCAAGACCTTATAATAAAAATTTAAAAACACATTAGTATCTAAACCATCATGGCCTTTCATTTTTCTCAATACAGTTTTTTCAAATTATATAAATACATTCTTAACACATAGATAAAATATCGTAGACACATTATATTATACATTGGCATCATAATGACTATTTCATGTCATAATAAAGCATCATTTGCCAAAATATGTACATTTGAAAATTCACTTAAACCTAAATTTTTAAATATTTTTTATTGAGTAATCTATTTTTATTAATGATAAAAATACCATTAAAATTTCCCATGTTTATTTCTCAAAGAGCACAAATAGCACACTTTTCTGTCTACATACTTAGAGATAAAATTTTAAAAGTATATTTTAAGTACTTTATTGAATTATGTTAAAAATTAAATTTTCTGAATGTACTGATTACTATAATTGGATGCTATACCACCTACCCACCCCACCCCCACGACCACGCCCCCAGCCTTGGGATAAAATTAAATTTCATTCAGATACTATGGTGTACATGGAAATGTTTAATTGTATTTAGCAAAAATCCAGAACCTCACTCTTTGGCTTCCATTTACTTCCACGGCTAATCTTGACAATGAACATTAACTGCTCGGGGTGCCTCCTTCTCTTTTACCCTGCTGGCTTGGTGTTGGTGATAAAATACATTTTTTTATATAATGAAATGTTAACCACAGCTATTGAAAATGTTTATGTATACACATATATATTAATATGGATAATATTTAATATATTGTAAGTGGAGAAAAAAGCTAGGTGGCTACAGTATGCTTCCATTTATATTAAATAAACTAACAAAGGGAAACATGTGAGTATAGTTATCAGCCTATGTATGTATATTACACTTTCTCAGGACATACAGGAAAAATGGTTAAAGTAAGTTGCCTCTGAGAATCAAACTGGATAGGAATAAAACTTAATTTTCATTGTCTGATACTTGCTCTGTTTGTATTTTTAAAAATTAAGCATCTAGGTCAGTGGCTTTTAACTCAGGTTGCATAGTAGAATCATCTAAATAGTTTTAAAAGTCCCTTGCCCCACCCATCAGAGATTCTGATTTTGTGGAGTAGGGTGTGAGCCTCAGTATTTTTAAAGGGGACTCAGGTAATTCTCGAGTTTAGTTGGTATTAATAACTATTGAGTCAAATTTTATGAGTGCCCTTGTAGACAATACAAAAATCTCATGTGCTTTTCGTTTTCACTTTTAAAATTATTAATTTGCCTTTAATTTGCACTATTGAGTTGTTGGATGAGTATAAAAAACATTCAATTGAAAGATATTTCTTAAATGAAATATTTAACTTGAAGTTTATGAGATTAAATAACCTCTTGTCTCTACCATGAATGAAACCTAGAGTGATAGCAAATTGTTTTGAGAATTATGAGTCTGAGATAATCTGGTTTTATGTTAACGTGACTACTCACCAGGAGAAAGAACTTCACTGTTATTTTTGAAGCAGAACTTAAAAGAGTCCAACTAATTATTATTTTTCAAAATTCCTTCCTTGCCAGAATTGCATAGGATGAATGAGGCAAATTAATATTTAGGATTATATCTGCATTTCTTTGTAGCTGGAATAAGCTCTGATTATAGCCTTGAAGAGATAGATGAAAAGGAAGAACTGAGTGAAGTACCTAAAGTTGAAGCTGAAAATATTTCTCCGAAGTCACAAGATATTCCTTTTGTATCTACTGATATAATAAATACACTGAAAAATGATCCCGACTCAGCCCTTGGCAATGATAGTGGAGAGTTCTCACAAAACTCCATGGAAGAAAAACAAGAAACTAGAAGCACAGATGGACAGTAAGTAGTCTCTGTGCTGGGGTGTTGGTGGCAGTTTGTTTAATTAATATTAGTGTTCTGAAATATAGATCTGAAATTTTAAACATAAATATAGTCAGCCCTTTGGTTTTGACTTTATCCCTTTTACCATTATTATAAGAATGTTTATTAATGAAGTACTTATTTGCATGTAATTATGTTCAAAGAAAATCAAATGTGACAGTTCTAATATCCCTGTGTCAGATAAGCCATGAGAAATAGTTAATTTGTGTGATTCAAAAATGAAAGTTTTTCTTTGTGTGTGTATTTTGCCTGTTACCTATGTGACCTAAATGTAATATTTAATTTTCAATTTTTACCAACTATTCCTGGAGGATTTTCACCGGTATGTGAAAACAATTCTGCATATTAGAGTATGATGTTAAATCATGAGTATTATCTTTGCAGTCAACTTTATGAAACAGAGAATGTATTTTCCACTTGATTCTAGAAATGGACAGCTATAGTCTAGTCCATTTAGGTTTGAAATGCAACAACATGAATAAAGATGAAATCAGCCAAGCAAAATAAACCATATATGTCAGAGGTTTACTATAATTTGCATGCGATTGTCTCCTTATTAAACTGTTCTATCACCAAAGGGAAAAAAACATCAGTGAGGTCAATCTACATTCTGATTTATATAGTTGACCTTGCCAGATGCAAAACTAAAATGTTTCATTTAATTTCCTTTTTCTTTAAAAGGCAAATAACTGATAATAACCAAATAAAGCCACTGTTTTGGAAAACTGTCTATTTTACCAAGCTTCTTTCTTTTTAATGGGACCACCATATGAAAGCTAATGTGTCATAGCAGCATTTCTTCTCAGTTATATTTTTTCTCTGCTTTAAATTTCTGCGGTTTGGCAGAAATAAATGATTGTTTTAGTCCATCTGTCTTTGGAAATTATTGCCTGTTTTCTCATTGTGCTTGCGTGTGTGTGTGTGTGTGTGTGTGTGTGTGTGTGTGTGTTTCAATAGTATCAACATATAACATACAATGTTATATCTTCCAGAGAACCACACAGTGAGGTATATGATACAAGCAATGAAAAGAAGGTAGTTGACAGTATAAGAAACTTGAAGTCGTTGGGCCAAAACCAAGAGAATGGTGAGTTATATAAATTAATAGCCAGCATTTTATTTTATTATATGCCAAGGACAATTCTTAACACTTTATATGTATTAACTCATTTAATCTCCTGTAACTCACTTAATACCTACCTCATTTACGGATATTATGGGTACTATTATTTTTATTCCCATTTCGTGTGCCACAGAGGTATTGAATAACTCACCTTAGGTCTCACAACTACTATGGTAATGGTGAACCTAGGATTTAAACTGGGGCAATATTGCTCTCGAGTGTGCCCTTAACTACCATGTGTACTACTTTTGTTGTTAAAACATAGAAATTATCTAATTTAGACTTTGGATCTTAAAAATGTTTCCTCTGTGTATCTAGCTGTGATCTGTTTCTCTTTTTTTCCATCTAACTTCCTTGAATGAAACTTTTCTTCCTGATTTTTCAAGGCCCAAATCATCTAATAATATAACCTTATTTACCACTGTTTCCCAGTTCCCATCCTCAAATCAACACAACTTATTTTTTCTCATGATGTCATTTGCTCATTTCTATATCATAAGGCATATATTCATGTTGTCTTTGCCTGAAAAACAATTTTTCATCTATTTTACCCATTCAATTTTTATCCAAATCATATTTCATTTCTTTTACTTGATTATTAGGAGCTTTGTGGTTCTATATTTACGATTCCTCAACTGAATTGGGTAGTCTTGGATTGGAGAAATTACATTTGATATTTTTGCACTACTCACGGCACCTAGCAGAATACTGAGATACTCATAAAGTATGTACTTAGTATTGAATTTCAGAAAAACAATCCTACGCAAATAGAAAATTCAAGGAATACACAATGGTGTTTTAAGGGGTTAGGAAGGAAGTGGCTTATGAATTCTCATAGTTCAATCTATTATGTTAATATAGAAAACTAGGTTAAGAGATTTAGAAAACATAGGGATATAGTATTCATATTTGAATAAGACATAGATAATCACAATGTCATATTTATATATATATAATTATATATATATAATTTTATGTATGTGTTCATTAACTTGAATAAATATGCTACTGATTCATTTTCTCCCACATTCAATACCATTGTGAGATACCATACTGAGAAGGTCTGAAAGCAAATAAGTTTTTCATTCTTTTCCACTTGAGTCAGTTTTTCACAGCATGTAACTATGATGGCAGTAGCATTCCTATTGAGAAATTATGATTTACAAGCTGCTTCTTTCTCTTTAAAACAATAGTCAAGTTGAATCATTTTTGTTAAGATTTTTGTTGTCAAGTTAGTGCCAGAGTCACAAGTACATTTACGTGGTATTTTGATTTGCACATGTTTTATTTTGCTATGACCTTTGTCAACTCTAGTTCTTTTTTAAAGTAAATAATGTCTATTATTCTTTAAGTACTTTTATTCTGTTTTCCTTTTTACCTACCCTTATCTAAATCACCTTCTTGTAAGTTTGTCAATGTCAGCGTCACTTTTGAGTAGAGGGTCACTATAGTATAAAAGATACCTCCTCCCTCTACTGGCCATCCTTGGAAAATGATCTAGCCATTCATAAACACTTGGTTAACATCATTGTCAGTTGTAGATGAGGATGGATTCTGGGTTTCCAGGACTGCCAATCACTGGAAGTAATCATGAAATGTTGAGAAGAAATTCAGAGTTAGACAATGGTAAAGTAGGAGTAACCTACCAAAAATATGAAAAACAGAAACTTATAATTCTAAAACCAATACATTAGGGTTTTTAAAAGGGGATTCAATGTAAAATATATGTTTACATTGGTTTACTTTCTTTGGGAAAATGTTTCTGTTGTGTGAACTGGGAAATACATATATTCAGTGGAAAATTAGAAATAAGAAAAAAAGAAGGAAATAAATTTAGATTCATTTCCTGCTGCCAGAGGGTCTTAAATTTTTCCATGCTGATAACAATGTTCAAAATAGTGTTTTTCATATGAACATTGAAAAATACTTATGAATCAAGTAAATTGAGAGCAGAGGCAGAAATATGCCTCTTCTATGGTTCCTAAGAGCATGGGTCCTTAATTTTGTAAATCAAAATAGTTAATAATCATTAGTCACTGAGAAAAGAATTCACCTAAGTATATAATATGTATTCTGATACTCAGTTGCATTTTATCTGGGAAGAATAAAAATGAGTTCCATTTTAAAATTACATGTTTAATATAGGAATCTTGCAACACAATATGTAATATTGACTGCCACAACCAAATAACTGTGCAATCAGGCAGAGTTTAAAAACGTGAAGATTAAAAAAAAAATTGTTTGTATACAAATTTGCCTAACATGATATTTTTCTGCTTGCATATCTTTTTTCTTTTTCTTTTTTTAAGAGAGAAACTATATAATATAGCTCATTACATTTTAGGCAATGTACTTCATCTCATCCTTATAAGTAAAAGTGGGTAATGATGAAACTATAGAGAAATACTTGGCATACTTTCACAGTTTGACCCCCAAAGCTCACATTTAGCTTGTGCTGTGCAAACTATTGCCATATGTGAAAAGGCCACTAGGGTTTTGAAGATAAGCACAGTGATCGCGCAGGAAGCATGATTCTTCAGGGCATTTAAATAGAGGAGCAGAGGAATGACTTAATTCAGTACTAGGCACATGGTACAGACCCCAAAGCCTGTTTCCTTCCACATGCCTCCTGCCAGTGCTTTGCCGTCATGTTGTTGACTGGAAGCTGTTGCTCTGTTAACCTAGAGACTGGGAAATGGTTTTTGTTTTCAGGAGGTCTGAATTAGAATCAAGAGGAAAAGTAGTGCAAAGGAGAGGGAGGTTATTTTCTCTACTTTGATTTTGACTCTGACTCTAGAATTAGGATGCCTATTTCCAACAGAGAAAAATCAAAACCAATATGACTGATTTCATGCATTGAAATCACCGATGTTATAACTAAAAATAAAGTCCTCTAACAGCCTTCTGCAAAGATACCTAATTACAAGACAATGAACTGAGATTCTGTTCTTTTTTTCTTTTGAGAGGGAGTCTCACTCTCTCGCCAGGCTGGAGTGCAGTGGCGCGACCTCAGCTCTCTGCAACCTCCACCTCCCGGGTTCAAGCGCTTCTCCTGCCTCAGCCTCCTGAGTAGCTGGGACTACAGGCGTGCGCCCCCGCACATGGCTAATTTTTGTATTTTTAGTAGAGACCGGGTTTCACCATGTTGGCCAGGATGGTCTCGATCTACTGACCTCATGACCCGCCCGCCTAGGCCTCCCAAAGTGCTGGGATTACAGGCATGAGCCACCACGCCTGGCCTGAGATTCTGTTTTTACTGTAAATCTTAATGTTTTCTGTTAAGGCCGTCATTAAAACTGACTGCATTTCCTGAGATTCCTTTCCTTTTAATGTTAGGTATGAAAATATAAATATGCTAGGGGCTATAGAAGAGACAGTCAAAATAGAGGGAAAATACAGTTTTTGAATTTGTCAGTTTCATTTTTTGTCATTATGAACAATGGCTGAATAACATCTAAAAAGTAAAAACTTATTTTTACTTACCTTCTATGGAGTGTTTATTGTGGTCAATATACTAATGAGCATGCTATCTAAATGATACACATATAATATACATATTTTCACCTTTTTTTGTCTGAGCAAACTGAGGCTCAAAGGGGTTAATTAAAATGTTGTGGCCACACTAGTTAAGCCAGGGGTTAAGCCAGGGATTCCAAACTTCAGTCTGTATGAATCCAAAGCCCATACTGTTTTCTCTATATGCTACTACCTACCTTTATATAGTCAGTGAGTTGAAAATTATCTGTCGAATTCAAACCAAACTATTTCAGGTGGGAGAAAGTAGGCATTAAAAACTTGAGGTTTTCTATTTTTTCATATATTTAACTTGATGATTTTTTTTCTCTCAATAGTACAAAATGAAATAATTGTCTTTCCAAAGAACACAGAAGACAATATGAAAAATGGAGTGAAGGAAACAGAAATCGATGTAGGAGGCGTTGCCAAAAATAATGACATTGATATGGAAGTTGAGAGACCATCAAACTCTCAGGCACATGAAACTGATACTGCTATAAGTTACAAGGAAAACCATCTAGCAGCTTCATCAGTACCAGATCAAAAACTGAATCAACCTAGTGCAGAAAAGACAAAAATGCAAGATGCAGCAATTCAGACAACCCCTTCTTGTAACAGTTTTGATGGGAAACACCAAGATCATAATTTGTCTGACTCCAAAGTTGAAGAAAGTGTGCAAACTTCAAATAACAACATATCAACTCAACACTCATCCTTAAGTTCACAAGATTCTGTAGATACCTCAAGGGAATTCAGGAGTCAAGGCACCCTAATTATACATTCAGAAGATCCGCTTACCCTAAAAGATCCAATTTGTGCACATGGTAATGATGATCTTTTGCCTCCTATAGATAGAATTGATAAAAATTCAACTGCTTCTTACCTAAAGAATTATCCACTTTATAGACAGGACTACAATCCCAAGCCAAAACCTTCAAATGAAATTACACGAGAGTATATACCCAAAATTGGAATGACTACTTATAAAATAGTGCCTCCCAAATCCTTGGAAATACTGACAGACTGGCAGTCAGAAACCACAGGGTATAAAGATGATCAGGACATACATGCTTTAGGGAAAAAGCACACTCATGAGAATGTGAAAGAAACTGCCATCCAAACAGAAGATTCGGCTATTTCTGAAAGCCCAAAAGGTCCACTGCCAGACCTTAAACCGAAGCTGAACCTGAGAACAGAGCATCAAGTGCACAGTTCTGTGAGCCCACCTGATGGAGCCATGGTTAGTCCTCTGAAACCTGCTCCCAAAATGACAAGAGACACTGGCACAGTTCCTTTTGCACCAAATTTGGAAGACATAAACAATATTTTGGAATCAAAATTTAAATCTCGGGCTTCTAATCCCCAGGCCAAACCCAGTTCTTTTTTTTTACAGATGCAGAAGAGAGTATCGGGTCACTATGTGACATCTGCAGCTGCCAAGAGTGTCCATGCTGCCCCTAATCCTGCTCCAAAAGAACTGACAAATCGAGAGGCAGAAAGGGATATGCTGCCTTCTCCAGAGCAGACTCTTTCTCCCTTAAATAAAACGCCTCACTCTGTTCCACAACCCCTTGTTGAAAAAACTGATGATGATGTCATCGGTCAGAAGCCTGCTGAAGCCTCTCCTCCTCCCATAGCTCCGAAACCTGCGGCAATTCCTGCTCGTCAGGTATCCACACAAAATCTGAAGACTCTGAAAACTTTTGGTGCCCCACGACCATACTCCAGTTCTGGTCCTTCACCGTTTGCTCTCGCTGTAGTGAAAAGGTCACAGTCTTTCAGTAAAGAGCGCACCAAGTCATCTAGTGCTGGGGCATCGGTCCAACCTCCAGCCAACACAGAGGAAGGGAAGACTCATTCTGTAAATACATTTGTGGACATCCCACAACTTGGTGTGTCTGATAAGGTAACTATAGACTTTTTAAAAATAAGTATTCAAATTTAGTGACATGGTTTAATGGGGATTAACAAGCATGTTGATATGTTTGTGTGCTACTTTACTCTGAACTCATATTAATCTGAAATTAATCTATTGTAGTGAAGAGAGTGGTAATACATAAAATCTGATTATTTGCTTACAATTATAACTTACATAACTTGTTTAGGTATTGCTGTAAGGTCATCATTATATAATTGTGTCATTAGCAAAGGGTTTAAAGTTTCTTTGCTCATATCGTTTGTATGGTATATTTACTAGTTTATAGTTCTATTTTCCTGTGTTATCTTAATTTGTTTTTAACTTGTCTAAATCTTCTGGTTTATTCTCCAATTTTACATTACTGTGTAATAGCAAAGGAAATAGTCTTAATGAAATGGAAAAATAACAGTTATCAGAGACTAGACAAAATAACTGAGCATCTCTCAGCTATGTGATTTCCTCATATACACTCAACTTCAGCTTGCATATATTGTGCATTTTCACATATAAATAAATTGAAAGCAGAGTTTTAAAATGTAATTTTCTTAATTCCCCATTTTGTTAAGTCAGTGTCAGCTTTCAACTACAATATGTATGTTGACCAAACTGTTATCTAACCACCATCTAACCTTAAATATTTACCAAAAAGGAGTGTTGTTGACTTAGTGTTTGGTCAACCAAGTGTTGTATTTTGCTAGCTTCAGATAATAGAGTCAAAGGAGAAGATGAAATTCACAGCACGATTTATGATAATCCTCATGCAATTTTAAAGAAATGCTTTGTGTACTCTTACTCTGATAGTGTTTAAAGAATACATTCATATTTGTGTGACAGTTCCAGAAGTATTTAATATTACTTTTTCAAACATTCCTAGAGCAAAAGAATGTTAACCATATTGCCAAGTAAATGTTTTTCCATAATTGTATAGCAATATCTTAAATAATATTTTTTCATGTATTTTACATTTATATTTATTACTTTGATATAGCATCAGGAATAGAAGTATGCTATAGAGATTAATTCTGTACTTGGGCACAAAGCCTGTGATTTTTCTTGGACTAGAATACCATTCCTAAACAATGGAAGCTTGGTGTAGATAATAAAGCTTTTAAGTCATTGCCTGAGCCCTCTTTGGGTCATTTTTTGGTAAAGATATGTATTTGGCAGTTTGAAAAAGACATTTAAGATTACTTGATAACATATGCCAGTTACATCAGTTACTAAATATGCCTTCCTGAGAAGCGTAATTCAATTTTTGATTCTTCAGTTTGGAAGTTCCTAACTTTTATATGTTGATTCTCATGGCAAAAAATAAAACATGGTCAGCACTTAGTCCATGTGACTTCCAGAAACACAAAATAAGCTACTAAGTGTAGCCTAGTAATTAGTATTCCTTTATTAGAAGATATATTAGGTTCAACAAATATGACATAGTCTGTTTGACTCTTTTGCTCATTTTAAAATAGTAATTTCACAGCTAGTATGTTGAAACCATGAAAATGGGTCATTTTTTAGTTTGTAGTATTTTAAAAAATCTTAATTTGACTTTTCTAACCAATTCTGTGTATTGGTGAAGTCAGCAGTATTTAATTCAAGAACAATAAAATTACCACTGTATTTATGAAGCAAAGAGGTGGTACCACTTTTCTTCTTTGGCTTCCTGAGTTCAAGATAAAGTAGTGCCCTCATCTTCCAGCTTAGCTCTGGCAGCAGAGATAATTCAGTGGGTGAGGAAACAGAGCTGTGTCTGCAATACCAGTGTGGCAAATGGTGATTGTTAAAGAACTATGGATGATGAAAATGTTTTGCAAAAAATGGCCCATTCTTTTCTTGGCATTCATATAAATATTTCACATTTATTTTTGTAGGAAAATAACTCTGCGCATAATGAACAGAATTCCCAAATACCAACTCCAACTGATTGCCCATCATTCACTCTTATGAGACAAAGTTCTTTAACATTCCAAAGCTCTGACCCAGAACAGATGCGACAGAGTTTGCTGACTGCAATCCGTTCAGGAGAGGCTGCTGCCAAATTGAAAAGGGTAAGTCTTCTTTATCAGATGGGTGACAGTGGGTTTATTGTCACCATTGTCAAACTAATACTTAGGGTAAAAATTTTCTAGCATGTAAATCTAAATAGCGCTCCCTAAGTTACTCTTTTATGTCTTTGAAGTATAAGCTGAAAGAGTTCCAGAGTCTTACATGTACTTGAAAAATATGTCAGGTCTATTTTCCACAATATGGGCCAGGTGCAGAACTTGAATTTTGTTCATTCTTATGTAACTATATAGAGAATGCCCTGGACTCTTATTTTAAGAGATTATGCTAGCACCTCAAGAAAGACTCTTTGGAAAATACCTCCCTGTTCCAAAAAAGGTAAATTAGTGATAGGAACCTACAAGTTTGTAGTCATAGCTCTTGCCATGATTAGTCACTACCATATGTGAGGCTTAGGGAAGAGTTTTATAGGTTAAACCAAAAAAAGTACAGAATATCTAGAGAATGTAGATGATAAGTAATGCAGAAATTCAATTCTTAGTAATGTCCTGCCCAAGTTATCTAGCTCCTGCTTACTGTGGGGCAGAATAAAAAGAGGAAGTCTGCTTTTTCTCGGGAAAAACACCCAAGTGTCACAGGGAATTCTTTTCAGGTGAATTTCCTCCTTGCGTTCCCTTCATCCACTGAGAAGAAGATGTGGTGAAGCTTTGAACAAGGCATCAGCACTTAACTTAGACTCTCCAGAGGCAGTCCTCTCCCTAAACCTTCTCCCCTTAATTCTCTCCCCTTAATTCTCCTGGTTGGAAGCACCTCCGCATCTAAGACAAGGAAAGTACTTATTATTCCATTAACTCCTGAGGCATTTCATTTTGTGAATTCCTTCTGTGATCGTTTTAAAAGCCATTTAGAGAATAATAAGAGACTTGTTGAGCACAGTATTGAGCTCAACAGAAATTAAATCTGCAAAGGAACAGGAATGCTACAAAGATAGGAAAAGAAATGGGGAAAGGCTTTCTGGGCCTTTCAACCGTACAGACTTGACTGCGTAAGCCAACTTCCTCGGTGTGTATGTGAGGGGGTATGAGTGACAGCCATTCCTTCCCAGAGGATTTGGCACCCTGTCTGGGCAAACATGGAGACAAGGCAGAATACTGGCTGCTGTCAGGAGTGGAGGAAACAGGAAGGAGTAATACAGTGGATTAGATTTGAATTTTGTAAATTATTTGTAGAGTCTGATTTTAGTGCCTGACAGCATAACAATTTGGTATAGTTTTTAATATTGAAATTGGTTTTTCATCGGTCATAACAAATTTATAGTTTTAGAGAAGGATAAATGCCCATGTTAATAAATTATACATCCTCACTTATGAAAAATTTTCTCTTTCTAATCTTGTGAATTAAGGATGAGTTTCAAACCAAGCACTATTGGTTGCTCAGTTCAATAAATTTGGCAAGCATTTTTAAAGCACATAAGTAACAAATATTGTACTAGATACTGAGAACACAAAAATGAATAAAATGAAGCCTCTGTCTTCTGTGCATTCACAGCCTGGTCCTGAGATACAGTGGTATATTGGGGCCATGGGAGAACCAACTTACTACACAGAAACTGATTGCGATGCCTTTATACTAGGTCAGTGAAGATATTCATCAGTTTCAATGAACTAATTGCAGAAAACTGCATTAAGTTGGAAATGCCTTTTTGGCCAACAGAATTATACAGGCCAGCAGCTATATACTTGGTGTGTTATGGGCCCTGACTTGGCAGTCCTTTCACACAGACAACTCTCATTGCTTCTAGAATGAGCTGAATATTAATCAACATAAAAAGCGGGCACTAAATGATTATCCTATAATTGTTTCCTGTTTAAAACTAATTACTTTAGGTTCTATTGAATCTAAAATTTTCTCTCTTTCAATGGAACCTTATTGGTAGCTCTGAGTATAGTGCCAGATTCTAATTTTTTTTAAATAAAAATTCCATCTATAATCCATCTCCTTTCACTAAAAATGGACGTGGTATCTAGTAAAGTTCACAATATACAAACTTCATGACTAGTACTTTTCACTTCTAGTTACATACCCTAAAAATGTTATTGTGTACCAGGACTCTCACACATAAGAATGTTCATGGAATGTTATTTGTAAAAACTCTAAATAAATATAACCCTAATATCCAATTAGTAGAATTAATAGCAATATATTCAAATAATGGACAAAATATAGTAAAATGCAATAATGTGCACAAAAATAGATATATATGCGTAAAGTTTGACAGCATACAAAACTAATTTAGATTATTTAGTGATGCATGTATAAGCGGCAGTTATTTTTAAAAGCAAGGAAGTAATTACAAAACTTATGATAGCGCTTACTTCCAGAGGGGAATTAAAAGGGTCGGTGAAGGCTTATTGAGGTAGGCTATGCACACAATTTAAAGGGTAATCACAAAGCTAAGTAATCCACGTAAATGTTATTTATTGTAAGGCAATAAAAATATTCAATATAAGGCTAAAATCTATGATGAAGAAAATACCACAATTTTAAAAGACGATTAATAGGGAACTTGGAGGTGTTTTTTCTCTTGACATGAGTGGTGCATTGTAAGCATGTTTGTTTTTCACTGGGCTACGTATTTACATTTAGTGAATTTTTCTATATATATATTCTATTTCAAAAAATTGCAAAAGGAAGTAAAAACCGGCACAGGCAGGCTCTTAATTTCTTGTGATCTTTGCTTAAGTCCTGTGTTTCTGTTCTGTACTGAAGATTTCTTCTAGTTTCTTTTAAATTCTGACATTTCTTTTATAGAACAACAATTGTATTGCCAAATAAAATCTCTGGTGATTTTGATGGTAGGTTTAGATTGTTCATCAGAAAGTTGGCTCTGTGTTTCTCTGTATCTTGGCACCCAAATATTCAATTTAACTCCAGGTACCCACTTGTCTTATGGCTCTGGTTCATACGCAGGCAATTAACCTTCATTATAATGGTTGGTTCACAATAGAACAATTACCTAGTTGATTACTCTAGTGTAAATGTAGTCATAAATATGCCATTTTTTTTTTCATGTTTCAGAAGGAATTTTTTTGCATACCTTACCTCTACTCAACCCCCATGTAGTCACAGAGATTAGTCTTTTCTTCATGTAAAGCATTAATAAATCGAGCTCAGTATGTTATAAATTGTGTGATGTTAAGGTTTATATATGAATCAGCAAATTATTTACAAAGAACAAGACAGATTAATTCATTACCCTTGGCCTGTGTTGACATAAGAACAACTTTGGCTTTCAGTACTTGATGGTCTCTGATTTACTAAAAATCAAGTTATTACCCCATTACAAGTAAGGTCTGAAAATAGTGAATCATATTTTGATATTTATCGCTATGTATTAAGTGTTTTTCAAATGTAAGATTTATCTTTGGTTCAACAGAAGGTGGAGGGAAGGAAAAAGCTGGGTAAGTCATACAGAATCTTGCTGGCTTGTTTTGTTTATTTAATTGGTTTTTTAGATTCATATTTCCTTAGTTTAAATTTGAACAACCAGAGTTTCAGGTTGGCAGCGATTTCTACGTTTTTAAAGTAAATGTAAATGATAGAAATTTTCATAGTTACATTCCTTGTGGAAAAAAAGAAAGCTATGTGGAATTCCTAAAAATTCTTTAAACTTCAAGAGTAGACAATCAATTAGTAGATATTCACATCAGTAAATTCTTAAATTTTTTTTAAGTATCTGTATTATAAGTGTAATACGTTCCTCATTCAAAAACATTCAAGTGATACCTTCTTTTTTCTTTATGAATGTTTGTAAAAAGTTACCATATTCCATTCAAGAAATATTTATTGAGCACTACACTGTCCCAGGCACTAAAATAAATATTGATATAAAGTTGGTATAAACTGGCATTAAAATCAATAAGATCTCTGCCCTCAGAATTTATAAACTAGTATTTTAATGATGGCTTCTTTTGTTTAAAAGTTTAGTAAACAACTTTTTAAATAGTAAAGAAGATGTCATTTTTCTTCAAAAATAACCATTCTTGATAGGTTGCTCTATAAGCTTCTAGGCCACTTTTGTAATATGTAAATGTATTTAATTTACAAAATGGAATACTCTGCAAATCCATTCATAAACAAATGTCTCTTTGAAGCTTTTTCAAACTGTTAAATATATATATCTGTACTATTCTTTTTAAGATTACATAGTATTTGACTTTATGAATGTAACATAGCTTATTTGTTCCTTATTGGTGGTCGTTCAACTGGATTCTATATATGGTGCTACAATGAGCATCTTTTACTTGGAGACATTTAGAGCCATCCATATGTTTTCTAAATGCCTAAAACAAATTTTCCCCTTCACAAAGAATTATGAGAACTGCAAATTTGGCAAGAATTACAAAATAATTCTCCCGTACACAGAAACATTTGGGACCAAGGTTCCACAATGAAAGTCATTACCTCTGCAGCCAATTAAACCTACTGAGTTCCTTTCCTTATGGGGGCCCAGTGTGCAGTGGCTGCAAACAGCAGCCTCCTTGGTAGTGTATGCAACCTGTTTCTCTAAGGGACCTTGGTGATAGGCCTTTCAGATGTATGTTCACGTCTCTGACCTTGCACTACCTCAATGTAAGCTCCAAACAGGCATACGAGGTGTCTTTGGAAAGCCCCAGGGTACTGTGGCCAGGGTTCACATTGGCCAAGTTATCATGTCCATCTGCACCAAACTGCAGAACAAGGAGCATGTGATTGAGGCCCTGCACAAGGCCAAGTTCAAGTTCTCTGGCTGCCAGAAGATCCACTTCTCAAAGAAGTGAGACTTCACCAAGTTCAGTGCTGATGAATTTGAAGACATGGTGGCTGAGAAGTGGCTCATCCCAGATGGATGTGGGGTCGAGTACATTCCCAATCATGGACCTCTGGACAAGTGCCAGGCCCTGCACTCATGAGGGCTTCCACTGTGCTGACCCCTCTTAATACTCACCAATAAATTCTACCTCCTCTCCAAAAAAAAAAAAAAAAAAAAAAAAAAAACGAAAGAAAGAAAGTCATTACCTGTCATTTGTTGGCTATTCTTGGAAAGAAATCTCACAGATATACTAAACAGAGTGCAGATGAGTTTTCCCTTCTGCTGGTGGCAACTCTTCTTCTTACCCATTTTCTTTTAGGTGTGTAGCGTCAATCACTCTGCTCCATCCTGGATTCATCCGACAGTCGAGAAAACTCATTAGTTTAGATGACCAATCTTTATTTAGTAAAAGGCAAAAAACGAAGCACAAGGAAGCCAAGTCCAAACTAAATTTGCCAATTTCATTTTCCTTTTAACCGATTTACTCGGTTGCTAGGAAAATCTGTGGCCATTTGTACTCTAGTTGTCTTCTTGTGAGAAGATGATAGTGTTTAGTTATGAACCTAAATTAGTAAAATTATAATCTAAACTGTCTTAAAATATCTTTATTATATTGCAGGTATGATATTTCAAAATCTAGATATTTACTATTCAGAATCCAGATGACTTTACATTTTTCAAAAGCTGGAATTCACACTATGTAGAAAATTCTTGTTTTCGTGTTTTTATTCACTTATAGTTTGTGAATAGAAGACTTTACCATAGAATTTTGAAACTTAGGAGTTTACTTACTGAGAAAAAGAACAAAACTCCCTTTCAGTCTGCAATCATTTGGCTTAACAGTCACAGATTTTACTTTTTAAATCCTTCACATGAAAACATTTTTAATACCAAGGACTCGTTTTTTTGTTTTGAATAAATAGGGGGCCATGGGGAGGGGGATTTCATGTTAATTTATGCCATCAGTACAAAACTTGTAAAATTCATTGCTTTGTGGAATTCACTTTTTCTTTCTACATTCTCAGAGGCAGTTTTGGGGAGCCAGAATTACAGAATTAATCTAGCTAAAAATGCTGTTTAACAGCTTGGCTTGCAGTCTGTTTGTGCTCTTGTCCTTTGTGTTGATTTGGTAATTTTGTACAGATTAAGATGTGTTAATGGATTATTTAACTTATTTGTTGTGAAAATAACAACTCTTTTTAAACTTTATGATAGAATGAACGTTTATTCTTGATTATAATTTATTAAATAATAAATACTTAGCATTTACAATTAAGCAGAAGTTAAAATGTGGTAACTGTTGAAAATTGAAAATTAGACAGCTGTCCCATTTTAAATTGATGGGTGCAAAGTGTGTTTCTTTCTCTTAGGTTACCATTCCATCAAATACAATATCTGTGAATGGAAGGTCAAGACTCAGCCATTCCATGTCCCCTGATGCCCAAGATGACCGTTAAATGTTACCCCGCCACGCCACTGCACTTCACTTCCACTTCAGACCAACTTCATACTAATGGAACATTTTGGCAAATGTATATTCAGATGTATACTAATATATTATCTGTTAAAATATTAGCATTTGTGCTATGGCTTTTAATGCCAGAAGAAAAGTTACCAGAATTTATAATTTATAATAATTTTTTAATCTTTTTTTTTTTTTTTGCCTTAAGAGTTGAATATGCTGCTTTAGAACTTTAAAACAAGGTGTAAATGATTTTCATTTTTTACAAATGAAAAATAATCACTTTGTATTGATTTCACTTACCAGCACATTCTCTACAATGGTAACTTAGACAAAAGTATAAGATTCATAGACTTATATTTGTATGACATACAACTAGGACAAACATAGATATGACATTTGCTGCCTCAATGTTGCAATTGGAAATATTTATAAGTTATATGAAAGCCTGTTTTGTGCTGAAAGAATAATTTAGAAAACTAGTGATATCAAATAAGTATATTCAGTTCAATAATTGTTTTCAATGATGAATCACTTAGTGTGAAAGACTTGCCTTGTGTATTCTTTGTGTAATTACAAATCACTGTCAATTTTATGGCAAGCTCATAGTATTTTAATATTTTATTAACATGGAACTCTTGTTTTTTAATCTTTAGAACTTAAATTCTACAAGAATTTAAAATATTTTCTGTATATAATTATGACATTGTCACACAGAAATTACACATTTTATGTGCCAGAAGCCTTAAAACTCTTTCTGTGAAAATGCTGATATATTGTGACAGTTATTTCACATTTGATATGTAGAGAGGAATAGGGGTTAGTTTATGTTTATATTGAAAAACTTTAAAGACTATTTGGAAGTTCCAGAAATTCTGGTTTTAATTCAAGTAAAATGATAAAATAGTATTATATAGTTCAGATGCTAATATCCTAAGTAATAATATATATTTACATTGAAGCTAAAACTGTTAAGCAAAACAATGCCAATTTGTCGGCTTACAGCTCTTCTGGAGTCTAGAGCTTGTTGGTGTTCTGTCCCTACTTTAAGAATTTAATTGCTCACTTATTCTAAAAGCTTTGTTCAAACAAGATGATATTAAATTTGTTTTCACTAAAACTACTGGGATATCTGCCTCTTGGGGATTTTTTTTTCTATTTAATAAAAGTAAGTTGTATATTTGGGGTGCTTTTTAAAAAATATAGTTTCTGTCAACCAGAATATTTATTTCCCTTACCTGATGCATACATTTCTATTAGCCAGTGAACAAACAAGAAATTCGTAAAATTTACCATTTATCAGGGATCCCTAGTGTACATTTAAGCCCTGGCATTCTGACTCCAAAATGCATGGTCTAAGCATGTAAAATGTTTAGAATAGTTCCTGATACATGGCATGGCCATCTGAAATGCTAAATGTTGCTGCTGTTTTCCTTGAATCAGATGGAGAGACCCTCATATATAGATACTTAAGTTATGTTGTTATAAGCAAGTAGAGAAGAGTGAATTTTTTAAAAAATTGTGTTGGCATAAATATCTACTAGTAAACATATAAATTTGGATCCCTAATTTAAACCGTCATATATTTGAGTTGGATTGAAGACTTAACTAAAAGATAAGCGACATGTAGGATGTTTTCAATATATTAATATATAAGAAAGTCTTAATTTATGAAGATATAAAAGTTCCTACAAGTCATGATAAGTCTACCTAATAGAAATATCAGCACATTATTCTTACAAGAGGGAATTCAAAAGGCCAACAAACATGGAAAAAAAATACCCTTCACTGATAATCAGGGAAATACAAGTTAAAAACATGGAAAGGTACCATATCAAATTAGCAAAAACATAAGTTTCAAAATAGCAAGTGTTGTCAGGAACATCAAACAGTGGGAACTCTAACTGTTGGTGGGAAAATACACTGGCTTGACTACCAGTTCTGCAATATCTAGTCAAATTAAAGATTCCCTACCATGTTACCTTAAATAAGTACTTACGCACATGCATAAGGAGACATCTACGAAAATGTTCGTGGCAGCCTTGTGTAAAACAGCAGAAAGGGGTCCTAACCCATGCTCAACTTTGATAATGCATATATTCATGTGATAGACTTCCACACAACAGTCAAAATGAACAAGTTAGAGCTACGTGTGTCAGTGTGAATACATCTCAAAAATAAGTGACGAGTGAGTGGTGGAACAAGGCGTTTTACGAAATTAGTTATATAAAGTATAAATATAAAAAAGATACTATAAATTATTGCTGTATATGTAGAAAAAAATATTTGCTGATGGTTACTTGCGGGAACCAAGAAAGATTGAATTGAGGAGATTTATAAGAGGCATCAATTGTGTTTGTAGTATTTTATAAACTGCTGTTTGAAAACAAGTGCTTATTCTAGATTCTAGTATACTTGTAGTTTATAATTAAAATAATGTTTTAAAGGTCACATAGGATTTAGGGGCTATGTATATAAACCATTAATGCATTTATGTTCTGGAAAGTTGCCTTATCTACACCATTTTAGGAGAACGTGTGCTACCATCTCAATGGGGAAAGAAATTTGTGACAAGTAGTTTTCACTCATCCTAAAATAACAGCACAAGTAAGATAAAGGAATGGTCTAGAACCAACTTTTGACTTTCATGTATAATTTTTAGCATCTAGGCATTTTGCTTTTCCTTCTTTTCCCCAATCAAGTTATTTCTTTATATAATATTATAATTCAGATTATATATATATATGATAGAGTATAAAATACATTCTTTTTCATCCCCAGCATCCCACTCCCCGCTCCAAAGATAGCTGTTAATATTTTGATATGTAGCTCTATATAGATGTATTTATTTGAAGTACATTTGTGCAGGTGTGTTGGGGGCTTGTGTGTGTGTGTGTGTGTGTGTTTCTACATGAAAGGAGTCACACTCTAATACTGTTTAACAACTTGCCTTTTATACCAGCAGTGTTTTGGAAGAGCTTTTCTTTTTGCACATACAGATCGATTGTATTTCCCTTAGCCATTCTATTTTTTCTTGCTGCGGTCCATAATGTTGGCTGGAGTGAAGAGATTGCAGTTCAGATCACAAGTCTGCCACTCATGAGTCATGGGATCTTGGGCAAATTACTTTCTCTATGCTTCATTTTGTCTTCTGAAAAATGAATTAATATGAATAAAACTGAACACTTTTTAAAAATGGCAGGTAATTCATCTTTTAAAGTTACCTGATGTCAATATTATTAGTGAACCAGTATTATTTGCCTAATATACTCCATATTCTTTGAGTAGTGACCCTTCTTCCGATTTCACCTCTTTATATACTGCCAGATCTGGCCTTGACCACTAGGCACTGGCAACAGCATATACACCCTGTCACCTTATCCAAGTCCTTGAAATGAGACCAGCCTTTGTCCTGAGACTTAGTTACTTATAGGTGCCTAAAACCGAAAGTGTCCCAATTGATACAATTATGTGTCTAATGCCTGTTTACTTTCTACCCCCTACCAATAGAGAAAATAAGTATCAAAGAGCTAAGAATCAAACTCATTTTAAAAATCTACTGATTTTGATAACTGACTTGACAGAAAAGAACTCGCAATTTGAGGTCATAGTGAAGATTTCCAGGGTCAAAGTGGTTTCTGAGGTTTTAGATGTAAAAATAGCTCCTATTTATTTGATATTTCGGAGTTTACAATGAGATTTTTATTTGATCCACATATTTAAAAGGTGTGCAAAGATTGCTACTTTACAAAGGTCACACAAGCAGAGGAGTCTCAGAGTCCCACATCCAATTACTAGTCTGTTCTTCCCTGTAACTAAATGTAGCAAATGATGAAGAAACTGGTGCTAGATTTCAAGGGATACCAGAATAGGAAGTTATTTGTTCTGAATCTTCAGTTCGTTTTCCTTTTCTCTTAAACGTTACCACTTTCCTGCAAATTTCCATCCTTAATATGTTAGACTCTTCATATAGATACATTGTGTTTACAACAAGGAAAAAATGCCACCATGTGCTCAGAACTTTTTTGACAGGTATTTTGAGAAGAGTTGTGGAACATTCTGGTAATTTGTAGAGATCTGTTGGCATCTCTGCTTTGCAAACTGGAAAAAATCATTTGGAAGTCTTGCTAATTACTTTTCTTGGAGAAGAAAAAAAATGCTACAGTTGCAAACAAATGTATAGTTTTCAAAAGAAGCAACTTTTTTGCTCCCCGGTTTATTCTTAGTTTCCAGCCCACGCCTTGGGATAGGCATAGTGATGGCCTCAATTCTTTCCCTTTCTTGCATCCATACCTTTTGCTGTGTGACTTTGCAGCTCCTCTCATTAAAGAGGCAGAGACCCCTTTCCTACCCATAGAAGCAGGTTTTGAGAGTAAGAGAATGAAGTGAAAATGACACTGTGCCAGTTCTAAGACCAGCGCTCGAAGGTTCACATGTTTCTGCTTGCTTTCACTGTATTTGAAATGTTGCTGTGAGAAAGACATCTCTGAGACAGCTGAATGGTCCTAAGAAAAGGATGAGAGACACAGGGAGCAGAGCTCCCAACGATCATCTAAGAGCCAGGCCCCCAGCTTACTCTGATGTGTGAGCAATAAATGCTTACCCCAGCAATACCACCAAGGTTTGTGGTTGGCTTATATAGAGCATTAATGTGGCAATAGACGCAATACACCCTGTTAAACTATACACATATGACTCTAACCCCAATCATAAATTCATTCAATCTGTTCAGGTCCACAACCCTGTTTCCTCCAGAATCTCACAGATGACTTACTAAATCCGACACAAACACACATCAGACTTTCTATCTAGCTCCCAACAAGTTAAAAACAATTCCAAATAATATTTTCTTAGTTGTGGTGCAAAAGTATATTCTCTCCCTTTCTCTATAGTTTTCTCTCATTTTGCCTTCAGGCCTGGAAACATGAGAGCCCAGCTGTCAAAGTCATCTAGACCCCCTTCAGAAGGTTATTGAATTTATCTGTTTCACAGGATTGTGAGATAAAATACAGAATGCCCACTTAAATTTGAATTTCGGATAAACAACAAATTACTTTTTTAGCATAAGTATATCCCATACAATATTTGGGATATACTTATATTTTTATATTGTTTATCTGACGTTCAAGCTAACCAGGCATTCTGCATTTTTCTTAGCTAAATCGGGCAACTGTGCTATTTTGTTGAAAACCTGAAAGTGTACAAAGAAGGAAGAAGCAGAATCTGCCATATGAGTAATAGAAGTGAGCAGGCCCAGAGCTTCCTAAGTCAAGAAACCAAGAGGCATCATTATGGAAAAGAGTAGCTCACCCTGTGTGCTCCTTGGTAGTTCTCTCTCAGAGATACCCTCATGTTATGAATGGGGAAAAGTTCACTGAAGAGTTCCTAGTGAAGAAACTTTGGATGATTTCTGTTGTTGGATTTTGGATACCTTCAAGGGATCAGAAAATAATATACTTAGGAAATTTTGGTAATGTCATCATTACCCTCCACGTTATTATGATGACAGTTACAATTGTTAAATCTAGGTGGTGGGTATGTGGGTTATAATTGTACACGATTTTTAACTTTTCTGCATATTTGAAATTATGATAAAGTCAGTAAATAAATTATTGAGACACTCCTATTACAGTGACCAATTGCACTCTATTCTTATGGGTAAAGACATTTAATTTGTGGCCATTTGTTCTCCCTCCACCCATTAAAAATGTTAGTCAAGGCCGGGCCCGGTGGCTTACGCCTGTACTCCCAGCACTTTGGGAGGCCGAGACGGTGGATCACGATCAGGAGATCGAAACCATCCTGGCTAACACGGTGAAACCCTGTCACTACCAAAAGTACAAAAAATTAGCCGGGCGAGGTGGCGGGCGCCTGTAGTCCCAGCTACTCGGGAGGCTGAGGCAAGAGAATGGCGTGAACCCTGGAGGCGGAGCTTGCAGTGAGCCGAGATCACGCAGCTGCACTCCAGCCTGGGCGACAGAGCGAGACTCTGTCTCAAAAAAAAAAAAAAGAATGTTAGTCAACTCAGGATAGATAATGCGAGGCAAGCAGGAATTTGGCAAAAGCTTCTGTTAGCAAAGTTAATTAAGGGTGTCATGGTTCAGTTTTAACTGAAAAACACCATGCACTGCAAGATCTGATGGAGCACAGCATTATTCTTATTATTTCATTATACTTTAAGTTCTGGGATACATGTGCAGAACATGCAGGTTTGTTACGTCAGTATACATGTGCCATGGTAGTTTGCTGCACCCATCAACCTATCATCTACATTAGGTGTTTCTCTAAATTCTCTCCCTCCCCTAGCACCCTCACCCCCCGACAGGACCCGGTGTGTGATGTTCCCCTCCCTGTGTCCATGTGTTTTCATTGTTCAACTCCCACTTATGCGGTGTTTGGTTTTCTGTTCTTGGAACACGGCATTATTTTTAAGAGGGAGGGGAGAAATAGGGAAAATGAAATTAAGTACCGCTTCTCTACCATTTACTCTGTTGCACTTCCCTTGAGGTAGATTTTTATCACATTTTACTCATGAAGCTCAGAGCAGGCTAGGGTGGTGCTAGGGTTGAAGACATATTTGATACCATGGCCCCATTTTTTTTTTCTGCTATACTCTGCTGCCTTTTTCCAATTGTAACTGTGTACTTGAACAATCTTCAGAAAGTTTTTTTTTCCTTTGCAATGAGTACCTCATAAATTACATCTCTAATATTTGTAACCTTATTTCAGTTGCCTAAACCTGAGAAAAAAATCATAATGAAAGTGACCAGTATTTCTCCCAGACCACTTATTCTGCCATTTTGAAGCTTGATGGATGGCTGGTAATTTGTACTAGGTGTTGCCGCCACATCCCCCAGGAATATGGGACACCTCATAGAATTTTACTAGGCACTGTGCTTTAGAGGGGTATGGCCTTCTCGAGAAGTCTAGAATCAAAGAGGAGACAGACATAGAAATGTGAAGAAACGTAATCCAACAGTGCATGAGATATCCCAGAGAAATGTTTGCTAAATGCTAGAGGCTGCGAGGACTATGATGTAAAGGGACTGGTGATCTGGACTTCCAAAACTGGGTGGATAGGAGTTGGTAATGTGAATGTAAGAGGAAAGACTCTGAGGGCATGCATATGGTGAGTTTTATAACAGTCTGCATTATTCTGGGGTGGCAAGTTTGTTCCTTTATTTGATGAACATTCGTTGACCATTTTCTTTCCAACAGGCACTGTGCTGGGTCATAAAGAAAGATGGCTAAGACAATTTTAGTCCTCCAAGAATTATAGACTAGTGATGGTTCATAAAACATGGTCATAAAAGAAAAGTATGCTAGAGATGTAAGTTGTCCCTTTTTCCACTAGGTCATTTGCCTTTTTTCAGAAGTGCTTCATATATTCTTGATACTAGCTCATTATTAGTTACATGAATTATAAATATTCTCTTCGTGTTTGTAGCTTA